GTACTCTTGTACAGCAGCGTAATGAATTCTCCCTCCAGCTTTTTCCTTAAGCAGAGATATTGAGGGAGCAAGTTGTTGCATTTTTTTATATCCATTTATATCCATGAGTCCAGAGAAGGGCAACGAAGCTGGTGAGAGGTCTGGAGAACAAATTTTATGAGGAGTGGCTGAGGGAGCTGGGATTGTTCAGCCTGGAGAAGAGGCTCAGTGGTGACCTTATCGCACTCTATAGATACCTTAAGGGAGGCTGTAGCGAGGTGGGGTTGGTCTGTTCTCCCATGTGTCCGGTGACAGGACAAGGGGGAATGGGCTGAAGTTGCACCAGGGGTGTTTTAGGTTGGATCTTAGGAAGAACTTCTTTACTGAGAGGGTTGTGAGGCATTGGAATGGGCTGCCCAGGGAAGTGGTGGAGTCACCATCCCTGGAGGTCTTTAAAAGACATTTAGATTTAGAGCTTAATGATATAGTTTAGTGGAGGACTTGTTAGTGTTAGGTCAGAAGTTGGACTAGATGATCTCGAAGGTCTCTTGATTGATGATTCTGTGATTCTTATGATTCTGTGATTTAATTTCTTGCAGTTCTGTGCCATAATGTACCTTTTCATCAACTGATGTTCAGGCTGTTGTAGCTGAAGTATTGTTTGCTGCTGTTGAAGTAGCTGATGGAGTACTGCCTTCATTTTTTTTCTACTAAACTGCACATACCCACATATTTTTAGTTGTTCTTTCTAGTGAACAGGGAGGAACTGAAGTGGGGGAACTTTATGATTTTAACCTGAGGTTGGAATTGAAGGGGTGGTACTTGTAATTTCGGTGACTTCTTAGTTTTTAAAACATTCTTTTTTAAATGGGGGAGGTAACTTCTAAGTCTTAGCAAAACTGCTAGTCTGGCAGGTTTATGCACATCTGTGATCTCTGTTCTGTTTGCATCCCTTTCCACTGGATCAATATGAACTACCTGCTCTAGGTATTCATTACTACTCAAAAACTCAACTCATGTGTCTAACATTATGCACACAGAGGCACCATTGAGTTCCAGATTTCCAAAAATAACCCAGACTCCTAGGTGTCTATAATTTTTTGGATGCCAATTTTGAGACATGTTAAGGAAATAAAGTTGCTAGAGCTTACACATCCATCACTGAAGTGTTGAAAAAGTTTGGTGAGGCTGTGAGCTTTTTTATTCTTCTTTCTACAGAAGATGTCAAGTTACAAAATGGATGGCCCAAAGAGAGGATTTTGTATTGTTATTAATAATGTTACATTTGATGGGGATCTTCAAGAGAGGAAGGGTTCTTATAAAGATGCTGGTAAGTTCCTGAAGTGAGATTTTTGGAGGGTTAGTTTCTCTGTTTCCCCATGCAAGTTGATTGTCTGGTACTGCTCTAAATGTTACTGTATATGTTTTAATAAGTATTTCTAAACAGTAAGATTTTTGATTTTGTTAAATTATGTCACTTGTGTCTCCTGGGGGGAAGGGCTAAAGGCTGAGTAACCACTGAATTTCTCATACAGTTGGATCATTGTTAAATCATTTTTAGAATCCCTTTTTATTTGGTCTTTATCTATAACTGTAAAAAAGAATTAAAACTAAACCAACATTTTTGTATAATATAATGCAAAACTCTTTAATCAAACCTATGCATACTCTTTTATTCTATTCATTCTATTTATCTTTTGTTTATGAAACTCTATAATAGTCAAAACTGCAGTTGGAAATAATCATCTGAGGAAGGTATTGAAAGAGTTTCTAATCTGAAACTCTGGGGGGATTCATATTTTCAGGTGCCATTTGTGAGCTCACTTAGTGTGTCATTTTATAATGTCATAGTATGTTCTAAAGCTTGTCTGGAAAGATTCAGTGACAGTGTTTGAACTGATGCCATCTTATTCTGTTAACCTTTATTTGATACTAGTATAAGGATGAATCTGCAGAAGTATCAGGGTGGGAGGTCTTTCACAGTTAAGATTAGCTTGCATGGTGACCATAAAATAGTTTTCTACTGCTTCATTTTTTTCTTTTTTCTTTTATTAATTACAGAGGAGCTAAAGAGAGTATTCACATGGCTTGGCCTGGATGTAATGACTTACACAGATCAGACATCTGAACAGATTAAAGAACTCATGGAAATGTGGCAGCAACTGAAAGATCACAAGGATAGGGACTGTTTCATTTGTTGTATTCTATCTCATGGAGAGTCAGGAGCAATCTATGGGAAAGATGGAGAGCTTGTATCAATCCGCGTGATCATGTCCTACTTCACTGCCAAACGATGTCCACAACTAGCTGAAAAACCCAAATTATTCTTTATCCAAGCTTGCCAGGGTAAAGAGATACAGCGTCCTGTCTACGTTGAAGCTGATGCACGAATTCCTGACTTCTCTTCTGTGCAACAGAGCCTTTCTCCTTCTGAGAGTATTCCTGAAGAGGCTGACTTCCTCCTAGGCATGGCCACAATTGATGGATATGCCTCTTTCCGGCATGTTCAACAGGGTACTTGGTATATTCAGGCCCTGTGCAGCAAGCTGCAGTTGTTGGTACCAAGGTAAATACTTAATTACTTAGCTCTTTGAAAATACAGGAGGAACTTCCCCCCTCCTTTTTTTTTTCTCTGAAGTCATATTCAAATAGGAGCAGCCCATGGACAAAATCAGTTAAACTGATGATTTGTTCACTCATCTTTGATAAATTTACATTAACACCTCTGGTACCGTAGAGACTATTGGGATGATGTGGAGCTTACTGCAAAAAATAAAAATAAAAAAAAAATCCACCTCTGAATCTCCAATCTATATTCTGTTAGCCATCTGTTTCTTGAGTGGATTTAGATAAAAATATCATTACATCCTTTACATTACTAGTTGAATCAAGCAAGGCTTGAACTCAAATGAGATCAAAAGAAGGGAAATTTGGAGAAAAGGATGTTTTTTATTATAAAAGAAAAATTATTATAAAAGTTCATACTATAGCTTCTAGATGGTCAGTGAGGTGTTACATGGAGAAACAATACCATCTGCTTATAATTAAATATTTTTCTTCTTATTATTTTTTGCTTTCATTTTGGCTGCAGGGGTGAAGATATTTTATCCATTCTTACAGAAGTTAATGAAGATGTGAGCAGGCGTGTTGACCGCTGGGGGACAAAGAAGCAGATGCCTCAGCCAGCTTATACCTTAAGAAGAAAATTTATATTCCCTATACCTAGAGACCCTCCTCCTTCACAGCAATATTGAGGCTTTTTAAATACATACTTTTGTCATCACATCTCATTTAAATGCAATTCACTCTACTGTCTGTATAAGGCAGCTACTCAGACTCCTCAGGAGCTGTTAGTGTCAAGGCAAGGCTTCCTTTTTTTTTTTTTTCCCCCAAAGAAACTGTGAGGATATACAGTTAATACAATCCATGTGCCAGGTATTTAAATAATATATATATACACAGAGTTTTCAAGGTTGGGACAAGCATGTTTCTATCATGTTAAACATTTTTGTGCCTGCAGACACAAAAGCGTACATCCGTCACCATAAGGGTTACATGTATATATTCTTTATATATATCTAAACCAGGATGTTAAGTTTAGGCTCATCATGTTTTATTTTGCATGCTAACAATTTTTAAACCTATCTCTAAAACCACGAGTTTTGTTCACAGAGAAAGACAAAGGTGGGAATAAGAGGAGAAAGCTTAAGTAGTAGACAGAGAAGGATTTTTTCGTCTCTAATTTAAATTGCTTTTAACATTATGGAGAAGCAGGTAACTCTTGAAATCAGCAATTTGTTCAGCAGTGCTCACTGATGCCATGTAATAGCTAACATGAACCTCACGTACAATGTTAGGTTTCCAAAAATGAGTATAGCCAAAATGCTATAGAACTCCCTCTGTGAAAACTTGTGAACTGTCATTTCCCCATCACTTCTTGGAATAAAAGTTAGGGTAGACCAGTTAAGCACTGTGAAATAATGGCACTCAGCTGTATATCTGCATATGTTTATCAGATTGATTAACTAAAAGCATTACGTTTTCTGATTTCTCATTTTAAGGTCTAAAATGAAGCTGTATAAGGACACAAGCCTTCTTCTTGATTAATCTTCTAACTGCATGTTTTAGCATTAACTGAAATAATATAATGTTATTTTGTTATGATATTTTGTGTATCTGTGTCCTCCTCTTCGTTACTGAATTAAATCTATATATTTTTTAAGAGCTTGTGTAGACAAAACATTTGCTAATGCTTATCCTTGTTTCTGCCTGCCTGCTGCACTTCAGAATACAATAGAATAGAATAGTTTGGTTGGAAGAGACCTTCAAATAACATCTTGTTTACCTGCCTGACCACTTTGGGGCTAAGCAAAAGTTAAAGCTGTATAGCTGAGGGCATTGTCCAAATGCCTGTTGAACACTGACGGGCATAGGGCATCAACTGCCTGTCTAAGAAGTCTGTTCTAGTGTTTGACCATGATAAAGAATTTTTTTCTAATACCTCGTCTGAGCCTTCCTGGCACAGCTTTGTTCCATTCCCTTGTGTTCTAGCTTTGTTGGACTGCATGAATGAGTGGGATTTTAACTGCTTCTGGGTTTAAGCTGAAGTGAACCTTTGTTTCAGCAAAACACTGATTTTTTTTTCTATATTTACTAGCCATAAAATAGCTTGAAACTTAGGGTTAAAATTTGAGATAGCACTGTTGAGTGCTATTGGAAACAATTTTTAAAACAGGTGTGTGACCCATAGCATCCTATATGTTCTGAATTATTATGGCTGCTACATTTGAAGTCACACTTGTGCCACAGATAGAAAATGTTTTTTTTCTGTCAGTAGAACATATAATAAACTTAACAGATTGAAGTGTCTGGCTCAAAATTGCTATTCAGACTCGGTGCACTCTTCTTTTGTATGTTTAGGTAACAATTGAATTTTATCAATACAGAGTAAACAGAACAATCTTGACCTTGTTTGGGGGGATCTTGGTTTCCTTCTTAAGTTTGCTAGACAGAGAACATCATCATGTTCTCTTGCTCTCTCTGTAGGAACCTCCGCATGAATAGTCTCCAGTTAAACTGTAGGTGGATAAACACAGCCAAGAAAAGTTTAAGCTGACTTTTGCCATGAGTTCCCTCGGAAGAGGGATCCACACTGTGAAGTATGAAAGACTGGTGAAGTTTCTCTCGTAATAAGGCTTGTTCACACACAGGTTACTGTGTTATGATTTATAGTATCCAGTATGAAAATTGTGCTTGTTTGTGTTTATATTGCTGCACACTGTAATACTTGGGTGCACACAGTGGCACTTTGTCAGGACAAGCCTGCAGGCAGGAAAGGCTTAGCACTGTAACCACAGCTGCCATTCAGCAAGGTTTTTAAAGTTTTCACGTGATCTGTTGTGGTGTGTTGTAAGACAGCAGTCTGAAAGTCTTGGGTAAAAAACACCCTCTCTTCCTGCAGCTTAGATGTTAATCACTGCTTGCTGTCCATGTTGTACTCTTTCAGTGTCCCTAGGAATATAGAGTTTGTGCTAGAAAGAAATCAGCCTAATCCAACAAAAAGTGTTTTGTTTCTTTATGGACTTGATGATGCATACAGAAGCATATGTACATGTATGGATGCAAGCTTGTCACCTACAGAATTAAAGAAGGGCTGTCACTTGCGCAATTCTTGTTTAGACATATTGAAGTGGAAGTAGTGTAAAATGAGTCTTCCTGTGGGGAAGATACGTCTCTGGAAAGTCATGATCTTAAAGTAGAATTTGTAACATTCACCAAGTCCTATCCATACTGATTCTCTCTCTCTTTTTTTTTTTTTTTTTTTTTTCTTGGGTAGGAGCTGTTTATCCTGGCTTTTGCCAGTAGCAGCCAGTCACTACAGTTGCTGAGTAGTCAGTAGCCTCAGCATTTTTGCTTCCTCAAGGCAACCTTTCTAGGGGAGCTGGATTTTTGTTAGGCTGCTGTACAAAGAATTGGCTGACTCATTGAGACAGTTCTGTGGGAAGCCAGAGGAGTAAAATGGGGGCAGGGGAGCTCTAGGAAGTTGAAGGGACTAAAGGCTAACAAAGGAACAGGAATAGTTTGGGGAAGGACAATAGAGTAAGAAATAGGAAGTGAAATATTAAACAGGAAGAAGAATGCCAGGAGGGCTGGTCCCTGAAACAGCTGCATGACAGGAGAAGTCTCTGGAAAGAGCTGGTCTTGCCTGCAGATCTTTTTCACACAGTGATCACAGCATGTTTCCTCTTTAAACCTGCAACTGGAGTCAGTTAAGACACAGACCAACTAGTAAAGGAAGAGAGTGAGGCATGGGATGACTTGGAGACAGAACCATTCGGGACCTGAAGATCAGATAGCACTTGTGATGCTGTTCCCAGCCTTTGGATAAAAGGAAGACTCATGCCAGTGAATCTCAGACACGTTTTCTGAACTGTTACTAGCATGTGCCTTTTGGAAGGAGTTTGAATACCTCATTCCATTGAAGGGTATGTTATAATTTTGAGTTTATAAAGGTAGATAGGTTGAAATCAATGAAGGTAGTTTTAATTGCAAAATTTGAGTATATTTCTGCTGTCCTAACTCTCTCTCTTCATAATGCTTGAGTTCGGGCTTCAGATGTGAACAGAGAGGTCGGGTAGCTGACTATTCATATGTTTGCTGCTGCAAGGAAAATAGTGGTGACCAGCAAATCATACTGTGAACTTTACCATTGAAGGTAGAGTTCTATGCATAAAGAGGGTGAAAATGCCAAAAGTTAAATATTACTTAAATTATTTTGTGAACAGGAAAGTATGTTTCAAAGGGGTGTTTATCCTTTCGGTTTTCTGTATTTGTCAGTACTGCTACTGAATTTGGTACTGATATTTGACTTGTTAAAAGTAGGCTGGCTGAGTTGGAGCTGTACTTTGAAGAATAGAGCTAGGATGTGGAAGATCTAGTGACACAGCAGGATAGTGGGACTGAGATGTTTTTAAATGGGAATATGTAATTGATTCATGCCTCCCCACCATCTTTTAATTGGGATTTATAAGTAATCATAATGTACTGAGCTGTGCCATATACCAGGGGTTCCTGGCTGTGCTGCTTAGTGTGTCCCCTTAAAACAAAAGCAAATCTGGTTGTTTCTGTGGTTTACGTTTTTTTCCTACAACCATTGTAATAATTTCCTGAAACCGGAACAGTGGCAAGTGGAGAAAGAAACTGCTGCATAATGATCGCAGCTTATTGCTTTGATATAACTGACTTATTGTAAGTCATGTGACTTACAGGCCATACAGGCCATAGTACAAAAGCAAGTACTTTTCCTGGAACTTCAGAGACTATGATTGTCTTTCACTTTTTTCAGTTGTTTCAGCGGTCCTCCAGCCTGTCCTCCAATGTAAGTGTAGTAAAATTATTATTACTTATGGTGTAAAAGAAACTGTTTGCTTGTTTTATCAGTTGTGTCTTTATTTTAGTGAAGTGGAAGAAGGCACCACAGCTAAACATTGTTTTAGTGTACTCCTGTATTTACAGACAGGCTTAAACACTGTGTAGATGGCACATCTATACTAATTGCAAAAATTTTGCGGGTGTGAAACTTACTTTTTGATTTTCTATTGTGCTCAAAAGTTGGATACATAAGCCAAGTTTAAAATTTTTAAAGCTGATAGAGTAGGTTTTAGGTTAGATGTTAGGAAGAACTTCTTTACTGAAAGGGTTGTTAGGCACTGGAACAGGCTGCCCAGGGAGGTGGTGGAGTCACCATCCCTGGAAGTCTTTAAAAGACGTTTAGATGTAGAGCTTAGGGATATGGTTTAGTGGGGACTGTTAGCGTTAGGTCAGAGGTTGGACTCGATGATCTTGAGGTCTCTTCCAACCTAGAAATTCTGTGATTCTGTGTGTGATTCTGTGGTGAGTGGTGGAGAAGGAGGATGATATTTGGTGTTCAGTAAAACAGAACTGCTGATGAGAATTCTAGTCTTTTTGAAAACGTTGATGTGATCTGTATTTGATTTGAACGTTACCAATTGAGATTAGATTTTACTTCATGAAGATAAACAAAAGCAGGGAGAGGTGCTTTGGTTTCATTGACCAAAGTCAGAAGCAGTATATAAGAAAAGTAGAAGGCAGCTATCTTAGAGAAGTTTTGCTCATGTGGGCTGTAAAACCTTTATATATGTTATGGTGCAAAACCTCGCAGCCTTATTTACTGCATAGTCTATATTTCAGACTGTAAGTGGCTGTTGCTTCCAAATGGAGTCAAACCTCCAAAAGAAATGGCAGCAGCCTGCCAGGATTGTTTATCTGATACATATATATGTATATACCCAGGTGTGGAGATGCACCATAGGAAGCAAGAAGGATCTGTGACTTTCTCTGTCAATTTCACTTATGCACAGTTTTCAATGCTCTCCATTCAGTCCAGAGAATCACGAGAAAAAAATGTCAAAGTTATGGTGGCAGGACAGCATCTGTCTACTGAAGTATTTTTGATTACATATATTTATTTTGGACTATTCTACATGACATGACACCTTTTATATTCGTGGTGTTGCACTACTGTTACTGACAAACCAAATTAAATTTTCTCTGTTTAGATCCAAATCCTGACGTGAAATGAGTACAGTCTTCCACAAACTTCTTTTTGACATTTCTGAGGCTTTGGCCACAGATGAACTGGCAGCTCTGAAGTTTCTCAGCTTGGAGCATGTCCCTGTGAGGAAACAAGAAGCTATTGAGGAGCCCAAGGCTTTCTTTGAAGTGCTTCAGGAGAAAGACATGATCAAAGTGGGGGACGTGTCCTTCTTGAAGGAGCTGCTCTACCGGATCAATCGGATAGACCTCCTGGCTGGCCAGCTGGGCTCCAGCCGAGAGGAGATGGAGAGGGAGCTTCAGATCCCAGGCAGGGCAAAGGTGTCAACATACAGGTAAGCACAGTATTAGTAAACATTGGCATGCAAAACGTACGACAGTTCTGTTGTGTACTGTCTTGTTCTCTGTAGTGTTATCTTACAAATATCCCAGAATAATTGAATTTATTACAGCATGACTTCCTGCCCTCGTGAGTTTTGAGACCACATTTCACATTTCTCAGTTCAAATGTGTAGTTGTCATGTTTATTTCTCCTAACGTTCTTAGTCAGTCTTTTTCTATCCTTTATTGCCAGACAGCTGCTATATGGAATTGCAGAGGACTTGACTCCAGAAGATGTCAAGAGTGTGAAATTCCTGCTGCAAGAACGGATACGAAAGAACAAGCTCCAGGATAATGCTGTAGGCAAAGTAACCTTGATAAGTTTCTTGCAAGGCTAGCTCAGAGTCTGTCACTTGTAAGACAGGAGCAAGGAGAGACCAGTGTGCTGTCACTAAAATTCTGTTGTATAGATTTGTGATGTTAGCTGACAGGTGCTCTGTGACAGAAAGGACCCTTTTTTCTCAGTTTATCTTTTTGCTGACCTTTTTGCTCTCCTTTTCTCATTTTGCCTCCACCACCTGTCTCCCTATCTTTTTTTCTTGCAAAATCCATCATGCTCTTACTTTCTTCTTTGCTTGGCATTTATAAGACATTTGTGCATATGCTGTATCTAATAAAAGTGATGTTTGCAGGAAGAAAAACAATGTTTTGGAGGTTGAAAATTGAGTTCTAACATGAGTTCCAGCACTAATTTTTGTGTGTCAATAGGTACATTTTTTTCTACATTGTAATTTGATGTAATAGTATTTTGTTAACTTCCCCACAGAAAGATTAAGAGGGTTGGTGAGCTAGTTTAATATCTGTTTTGTAAACAACAAACAGTGCTATGAAGGTGCTTGGTATTACTAAGAGGCTTCCTTAAAATTCTATTTGTATTGTGGCACCTACTGCAAAAGTAGCAGATTTACCTGCAACTTGGTGAACTAAACAGCTTTAAAAAACAAAGTCATCCTTGAAGACATTTCCTGCATTAGAACATGTAGAGTGGTGCAGTTAAGTGGCTTACAGCAATTCATCTGAATGCAGAGGCAAAACAGGATGTCGTATTATTAACTGCATAAGTGCTTCGCACTTTGAAACATAGCAGAATAACTTAGCCATAGGCAATTTCTACCAATCCAGTCCTTACTCTAGTGATGTGTTTCTTCAGTTAATGAAGTTTGGAGCAAAAATAAATTGGTCTTTACTTTAGGTCTGTGGGAATGAAGATGTTGTCTTCTGTTCTTTCGAGAAGTGCCAGATACTGCGGTTATTGAAGGTCACTGTATGAGTTTGGATTCTGTGTTTGTGTTTTACCAGTCAATGTTGAAGGTCTTAATGGAAATGGAAAGAAATGGAATAATTAAAGAAGATGACCTGAGAATTCTGAAGGATATATTAAAGGAATTTAGAGCTGACTTAAAGAAAAGAATTGATATCTATGAAGAAAAAACAAAAGGTAAACTATTTAATCAGCTGTTTAAGAGTAGAACTGTTTTGTGATTTTTTTTTTGTGGCTCGATCCTTGGGATCTTAGGAGTTTAGAAAAAAGAGACATCTTACAATATCTTGGGATAGGCAGAACAGATCTTGGTACCTGTGGTTTCCAATGTTCTCTGCTACTTCACTATCACATCATGTCTTCTTGTACCTCTCTGCGAAATACATGCTGCCCTTTGTAAGTGGTCTGCCTCTCCTTTATCTTTGCTTTAAGTGCAAAGGAAGCAGTGCAGTGCTGGTTTTGGACTATAGCTTTTCAGCTGCTGAAAAAAAAAGACAGTTGGCTTGAGGAAACTTGTTTTGGTTCTGAGCATAGTTTTCTATTAGCAGGCTTGTTTTCTCTTATTTGAAGGAGAAGTCACTGGAGACCAGGTACATGGCTAAAATTGGACTATTAGCATTCTATATCAGATGTTGAAATGTCAAGAACTTCCGTGTCTGGGCTGTTGCAGCTGAGGTGGTGGCTTGCGACACTATATACAGGCCTTACTCTTTGGGAAACAGGGTGTGTCAACCATCAAAATGAGAGTCTACTAAGTGTTTCTACTAAATGTTTCTACTAAGTCTACTAAATGTTGTGTTGCTACAAAAGCAGAAGAAAATTGTCAAGGACGGCTAGCATAAACAAGCACTGTGTCGGGGGAGTGGCTTTTTAGTAGTATTGATATGTTTTGTCCCCCTTGATAAGTGGAAAAAGAGCACATCTATGTAACTTGTAAAAGGGGTATTGTGATTTATTTCCCTGTGCAGACCCATGTGTTTGATGATTTCTTCTCTTATTTCTGGCAGTTGTATTCAAAGCAGTGTTTTAGCGTTTTGAGGAGATCTTCATTATGTTGGTGTTCTGTCTTCTTGGTGTGTCCACCAAAACAAAGTCATCTGGAGAAGGGGCCTCAGAAGTAAATGAGCTGGCTGTACTACAAAAATGGGTCTCCTCTTTGACTTGCATATCCCATAGTAGAGATGCTAAGGGATGGCTTGCTTGGGGTGACCATCACATTCAGACTTCTGTTATGTGGCTCTTGCTACCAGTAAAAGAACAGACAAGAAATGGAACAAGGTACAGTCACTGCAAGAATGCAGCATATGCCATTTCCAGGCTCAAGCTTCAGTGTGCGCTCAGGCCCACAGGTCCACTTGTACTTAATAACTCTAATTTTGGGAATGTCTGGTTAGGGCTGCACAGTCTTGACACAAATGTATCATTTGTTCCAAGGGACACTCTTCACAGCTTCACTGATGGGCAGTTTGCAATACTGGAACCCATTCATGGCCCAGCCTCACCAGTGATAGTGAAAACAACCCTCCACCTCACTCCTTGAGCTTTTCTGGTTTTGGTGTTGAAATATGCAAAGTGGAAGATTTATCCTTTTACTCCTAAAATGTTCTTTTTATTTCCCTCTTAGAAAATAATTCTAAGGAAGAACTCAGCAATCTAATCTGTGTGTCTCGGCATCCAGCAGGACAAGGAGCAGAGGGTGGGACACCACACCTGGTGAGGAATACTTCAAGATTGCCTTTAAAGTATTTGTCCAACAAGCGGGAGCAGGGAGCATAATTTTTTAAGACTAAGCAGGTGGAAGAGCTAAAAGGGAGGGATTCTGGCTTTATATGTTGGCCTTGAAAGAATTCCTGTTTTCAAAACAAGATCAAGCCTTGTCCTTTGGTGAGGACATGGCTGTCAGCAATCTTTTAGACAAGAAAGGAAAGAGTAGCTGTCATGGGAAGAAAAACAGTTTTAAATTTAAAAAAAAAAACGGGACAGTCTAGGAGTATCCTGGATAGATGGGATCTGCTACCCATAGATAGATAGATCTGCTACCCATAGATAGATAGCATCTGCTACCTCACTAGAAAGTCAGGACTCTGAGTGAATGATACGGTTCAGGAACTTATCCTCCACATGTGCAAATTTGTGTTTCTGGACACTCACTTTCTCCCATTCTAAAATCATAGCCTAACCACAAAGAGAGAGGAGGGTTTCAGGAAGAGCCAGCAACTTCTTTCCCCTTGGGCTGACTTATACTTTTGAGCTTTTTTATTTTCTTGTATTCTTGCCCTCATGATTTAGGGTGTTTGGCACTGTTTTTTTTTTTTTTTATTCTAGTTTCTTTGTTTCTACAGCTTATGGAATCATACAAGATGGAAAATAACCCCCATGGCTACTGTGTGATTCTTAATAACCACAAGTTTAAAAATCCGTGTGAAAACAGAGAAGGAACAATAGAAGATGGAAGTAAGTATTTTTTTAAATCCAATTCATAGTTTGTTCTTTTTTATTAACTTCTGAAGGAATTATCTAATCTTTCCCATAGAATGATCACTTTCACTTTCCTTTGCTTCCAGAGTAACATGAGTGACAACTACTGTAGAATTGTAGAAATTCAAAATAAACCACTTCCAACAATTTAGCTGATGGCTTTAAGAAGGAAGATCTTACTGTTGTAGGTGAAAAAGCATCATCTTAATTGGTCAGATGTACTGAAAAGTGAAGGAGGGATTGATGATGCACTTTTTCACTTCTTGATTGTTTTTAATTTTTACCTATCACAGAGTAGCGCTTTTAAGTCCTTAAATTCTTTTAATGTTTTGCTTGCATAACTTACTGATTGGAGGGTATAGCTTGGACATGCAATACCCTCCAGTTATAAGCATTCCAGTTTAGTCAGTATGGGCAGTTGTTTGCAACAATGCTCAAATAAATGCAGTTATTTTACTGCTTTATAAATTTCCTTCAAGCCTGTCTTCCTGCAAGTGTCACTTGTTTATCTTAATAAAATAAAAATCTGCTTCATGAAAGCACACATCACTGTTTTTAACTCTATCCAGCCTGTCTACATGTTTCTTGCTTTCCAGATACTTTCCACCTACATAACACTTACATCAATATTTGCTGGGAAGTCTGTGTAGCACTCTGTCCTTGCTAGCATTTTAGCAGGTTATCCAGCCTTCATTCTTGCTGCGTCAATCAGTCTCACGGAGTGAGGGATCTACTTCATTTAAGAATGGCAGAAATTGTCATTCTAAAGAGTTACATCTTCCTAACTTTCTAAGGTTTGTTCTTTTCCATCTGAGATTTCTATGCAATGTTCACTTAAAACCTACTTAGAAAAAGTAAGCTTCACTAAACTGTACTGATTAATTGGATAATCTGAAACCTGCATTTGTTTTTACATAGTGTGTTGTTGAATCCAGTTGTATTTAAAAGATAAATAAGTTAGGTGTTTGTGATTTTCTAATTAAACTTGACAGGCTAAGAGGCAGTCAAGTGAATTTATTGGTGGGATCTGAACACTTTTGGTGATACCTGTTCTACCACACAGAGCCCAATGTTTCAGCATCTTCCTTGTCACTGTTTATGGTTACCAAGTGCCTTCTGACTTTCTTTCCCAGACGCTCTGAAGAGGGTCTTCGAGTGGCTTCAGTTTGAGACAGTTGAGCACATGGATCTAGAAGCAAAAAAAATATATGAGACAGTTAAAGAATACAGTAAAAAAAACCATAGCAACATGGACTGTTTTGTTTGCTTCATTCTTTCACATGGTGAAAAAGACAAAATAAAAGGCACTGATGATGAGTTTGTAAATATTAAAGATTTACTCACCTGCTTCAGTGGATCTAATTGTCCTTCACTTGCTGGCAAACCCAAGCTGTTTTTCATCCAGGCTTGCCAAGGCTCTGTAGGTCATCCAGCTGTCACAGTACAAGAAGACTGTTCTGGCCATCTCGAGATGGATGCTGTCCCTCTGCCTTCCATTCCTGACCAGGCTGATGTTCTGGTTGGCATGGCTACTGTGGAAGACTTTGAGTGCTACCGCTGTATAAGGACTGGCAGCGTTTACATTCAATGCCTCTGTGACAAGATGGAGTTACTTTGCCCACTGTAAGTACTATTCTTAATCCAGGTGTAGATTCAGGGTTGTGATGCTGGAACATTACAAATAAACAAATGTGTTCGTGTATGCGCATGTTTTTTAACTTTTTTTTTGAGTAATAAGGTATTTTTCTTCTAGTGACACCTGATAAGAGGCCAGTTTGATTTGAATACACAGGCAGAACATCAGTATTCTTTAGTCATAATTTTCATTGTTGCCTCTCTCATAAAGTTAATTTAGAAGATAGAATTTTTCTCCAGATATCACTTTCTCATGATGTTCAAAGGGCTTGGTGAATGCATAAATTTGGTTCTGTTTCATTTTAGTGTGCTATTCTGATTGCAGCCAAAGTAGAGGACTGTGTGTGTTTGTATAGTGATCCTATGTGGAGGTTGCTTTTATTCTCCCAGATGTACTGAATTCTGTGGTTTCACAGTGGCATATGTAATTTCAGTGACAGGCAGCTGAAGGGAAGATACTAGTCTTCCCTGAGATCTCACTTCACTGAAGCAAACATAGATCAACTTCTTGGCCTAGCAGCAAGTACTGTGTATTTTAGTGTAACTTTTATTTGTTTTTGTTCAAGCCGCAAGGATATTGTAACCATCCTGACAGAAGTGAACAAGGAAGTGGGAAAAAAAGTATTAAATGGATCGAAGCAGATGCCAAAGATAACATCAACCCTGCGGAAGCAGTTTATCTTCCAGATTCCACAATGCCAGTCAACAATAAAATAAGAATACACTTGATTAGGAATAACTTCTGGAATGGGCTTCCACAGGGAATTCAAGAAAAGTTGCAACAGAAATTGTCTAGATCTGTGTAGTTACTCCCAGTCCTGCAAGGGGCTGTGTGACCCAAATTTTTCAAATCCCATGTTTAGTGAATCTTCTGCAACTTAGATCACTAGCAGTCTGCTCAGGCAGTGGAGTTTGGATCTCTTCAGTCCTGCTTTCAAGTAAGAAAGCATTTCCAAGTAGTATGATTTTTAAGTGTTATGAGAATTGCCAATGGAACTATCATAGAGTAATAGGTTCAGAGAATCATTAAGGTTGGAAAAGACCTTCAAGATCATCTGGTCCAACCATCACCCTACTACCAATGTCACCCATTAAAGCGTGTCCCTAAGCACCAGGTCCAGCCCTTTCCTTGAACACCCCCAGGGATGGTGGTACCACTACTTCATGGGGCAAGCTGTTCCAATGCCTACCCTTTCTCCCCTTCTGAGAAGAAATGTCTCCTAATTTCTAACCTAAAATTCTAACCTATTGTTTCTGTCTCTGCTGCTAAAAGAGAGTAAGACCTTGAAATCCAGATATATTCAGAGCACCAGATACCTTCTCAGAGACCTTGTGTAAAGTTGTAACTGTACCATGCAAGGAAGTACCCAGAAGTGAGTAATTGCATAACTCTGGAAACTGTGTAGTTCTTCACAGAAAATAATGTCCCTGCCCAGAAGGACCAAATAAATAAATAAATAAAGATGATGATACAAGTCTGATTGTTTTCCAAATATTTTTTTTTTTTGCTTTATGTTACTAATTTACTTGGCTGAACAGCACTGCTGGTTAGGATTTTTAATAGTAAGGATTCTAATTGTGTTACTTCACAGAGCACTTAGGGAGCAGTCTGTTTTGAAGGGCTGATGACCACTGGAAGGAAGGTGCCACTCCATTAGATGCACAGTTCTGAGATTCTGTCCCCTCCTGGCAACTGTCTGTAGATCCTGTAGGCTCTTAATCTCTGTTGGAATAAATACTGATGGTTGTCACATCACCCTTGGTTGTGGAGGGTTTCTCTCTTAGGGGAGCTGACTGAGGGACAGTCAGCACAACAAACTTCTTCAGCTGAAGAAATTATTTTTGCTCTCGTTGAAGTATGCAATGGCAGCCACCCTTAGAATGTGGCATATTGATATCCTTTCATTATCCTTTCATTAGAGATGGTAGAAAAGCGTAAATTAAATTCAGGACATTCATGATAATGGCAGCTGATGCCGTGTTCTTACCTTGCATCTTCAGCAGTGTGTACATGGTGTGTGAGAGCTGCCCAGGAGTCTAACAGCCACATCCCTTCTAAGCTTTATAACAAGGTAAAGGATGGATATGAGACAATATGTAACTTCTGTTTTTTTTAGTTTGTGTTTTTTGGAGATCTGTGTTTAACTGTAGTGCAAGGGTTCTTTACTTGTTACTGCTTTTCTTCCAGAAGTGAGACTTTCTTATTTCTAATTTCACAAAATATGTGGAGCATTTTGCTTCAGTTACTGGTTTTCACCTTCTAAGTGAAAGGGAGAATGTCAGTTCTTAGAGTCAAAGCTCTGTTCGCACAGGCTTCATAAATAGGCATTATTAGCACAATGTAAAATGAGAGTGCTGTTTGTGGCAAATTATAATAGAAGATATTATGATACAGCTCTATGGATGAGATTTGGTTAACCATCTAGGAAAAATGCAGCAACAATGTATTTACATTTTTATAGCATTTTCATAAATGAAACCTTAATATGAAGTTAGTAGTTGATTTGTAAATGCTGTTTTACGATATGGAAATGTTGTTTAAATGAAATCACTGCTTCCTCTGGGAGAAACGTGCTGAAGGTGGCAGCTGTTCCAGTACAATTAAGGGAAAATATCACTGGTATTAGTTAAGTTGTGAATCCATGGTATTTCCATTTCTTCATTGTTTTCTGTGTCAGAGTTTAGTACTTTTAGAAAAAATTCTTTTAGATATTCCACATGAGGAGGGTTTAATGTCTAATATCAAATTTACTTATTTGTTATATTTGGTGTTACATGGGTTTTTGAATGATACAACAATATACTGAAATCACAACATGAAAATAACACAGCAGTTACAATATACAGTTGAAGTTGAACACAATACAAATGTGAGATTCTCATCACCAGTCTCCACATGCTCACTGCCACAACACTGGCCGTCTCTAGTTGATAGGAAGGAACATGTGGCTTGAAGCCAACGCAACCCCAGTGTTCCCTTCAGTTTGTTTAATCATTTGTGCAGTTTTTATAGTTTGTGTTGGGCTGAGCCACATACAATCCCCTCCCTATGCTGGCCTGGCTAGCTTGGGAAGACATTCTTTAATTGTCTCAGGCAACCTGATTTACTGGTGCAGCTGTCTTGTCTAAAACTGAGGATACCCTCCAGTCTCCACAGTGTTGCGTTAAGTTCAGCTTTCTTCACCATATAAATACTAGCTTGTACAAAAGACTTCAGTGTAACTATCACTATTTTTTTTAACATTGGCTTGTGGTACGGACTGTGTTGCAATGTTTTTTCTAAACAGAGAAGGGGCAAGGGCAGTGAGGTGGGGATGAAGGGGGGGGGGGAATGTGTTGGAAACTAATGTATTGATAGTGGGAAAAGAAGTGACTGTGGAGAAACAGATGACAAGTAATGGCAGAGAATAATGGTCGTTGTCTGTTCTTGGACACGCTGCTATAACCAGCAATTGTATCCAGGCCCAGCAAGAAGAATTAGGAGCCTTGATTCATACTATCCTTGGATTGTGGATCAGATATAATCTAGTTAATTCCTTTGCCATGTTTGTGGTGAGGTTGTCTGTCAATTATTGTTACAAGTAATTTCAGGAAGCAGCTATGCTGTGAATTTGTATGTGACTCATGCAGTGATCAACAAAAACACTTTCTTTTTTGGGTTGAGGAAAATATGCTCACAGGCCTGCAGCCGGGTGGACAATATGTTCTTTTGTATATTTGTTGCCCTCCCACAGAACTGAAAGGTAAGAAGAAAATTTGAAGGCTCTGCAGCTTTCTGACTGTTTTTCCTCTGTAGCACAACTTGGAGAATGGTGAGGGGCAATTACCTGTACTTTCTGAAGGCACTCAGCTATAATTAATCAGTCTGTCCTCCCTTTTCTTCACCTCCTGTTTGGGAGGCAGAATTTTGTACTGAAACAATGCTGGCACATAAGTCTGTACTTTGCTTTCAGCCAGTAGAAGCGTTACCACCAGGAAGTGGGCTCAGAAGGTTGGCAGGAAAGCAAGGCTGGTGAGTTAAAACCCTGTAGGCTTACGCTGAAAGCAGGCAAGATCAGAGTGATGCTGTTTGAAAGGTGAAATGCTTAGAAGAGTAGGGGAAGACAGAAGGCGGAAACAATGTTATTCAGAGGCACAGATCTCTGCCCTCTTATTTGCATCTCCTTACTTACTCGTTCAGTTTAACATCAGTTTCCCGGAGAGTGGTGTATGCCCCCCTTCCCTGGGAAGTTTATCATTCTCTCTCCTGTAAAGATTTTAGGGTCACCTGCCACTATTGGGATGGGTTAGTGGTACGTGCGAGGAGCCTGCCTGTGTTCAGATCACAGCCTGCTTTCTACCACTGCATGGGCTGCTCTAATTACGTATTTTCCCACTACCTCTATAAAGGTTTGCTCTTAAGTTTTCAGTGCTGTAAAGTTAGTTAACCTACTGGGGAGTTTTGATCGTTTTGTTTTAGATTTAACTGCTGTCTGTGTCTGATGTCGGTAAGATTTGAAGTCCTGTCTGTAAGACTTGAAGTCCAAGGAGAAGTGGAATTAAAATCCACAACGTTTAAAAGAGCCAGCTGTGCAGCAGAGAGTCCAGAGCTAGATTTTTCTCAGGAAATGTTCAGTGTTCAGCCTGTGCTTGCTGCCTTTTATTCTGACCTACTAACTACCTTGGGAACGTGTTCTCTGGAATTACTCAGATCTGCCTTTTTTTTTCCAGCTAGAGATGTGTCAAATTATGAACAGATAACAACCTGTTTAGTCTGCAGTGGCTTTTATGCAATGTGCTAAAAAATATGGTTAAGATCTTTGGGAATTCCCAGATACTCATTTCTGTATTTCCTTTCTGTAGTCGTGCCTTTGCTTATTGCTCTGTCTGTTCTATTATTGACAGCTACAGGAATTCCCCAGCTCCCTGATGTGACTGGTCTTTGTGGTTCCAAACTGTCATATGTTTCTAGCTAGCTGGAAAGTTATCCTGGACATTGCGTCTGAGCTTGACTTAGGTCTTTTACATAGATTTTATATTCCTCTAGCCACTTTGTGTTTAGGCTTGCTTTGTCCTGGCATATCAGTGCAAAGAGAAGGATCCATAACTCCTGCAGTCTATTTACTAAGAAGAGCTTGTTTTAACATGACTTGAGGGCATGTTAGCTCATAGGCTGTTAAAAAACATCTTGCTGCATTCAGCTTACTTCCACCTGTGACCCAACTTGTACGCATATTGTGATCAAGTATCTTGCGTAGTGCTGTATACATTGATAAATGACTTCTATGATAATAACGTAAATATTTCTGCTTAATGTATTGCCAAACATGTTTTTCCTTTTTTTTAGGGGGAGTGGGATGGGGTGGTGTCTGTGTCTGTTTTTAAACAGACCTCGTTTTAAACATACCTCGTTTGACACCTTGTTTATTTCTTTGGGGACTATGGATGCTTGAGGGTGGCTCTCCTGATAAGGTGTTAATGTTCAATTTCAGAAGGATGAAAATCCAACTAATAAAATCTCCTTCCTTCTGTTGTTGTGAAATACCATCTATGCAACAGAAGGTGTAACAGAGGTTACGTAGCATTTTAAGGTCTCACCCCCATCATTCTGTGCTCCTATAAGCCTGTTGCTAAAAGTCCTCAGGGCTGGGAGGGAAGCTGGTTCAATGGCCAGTGCCTGTAAGGGTGTAGAGTCGACCACCTCAACTGTGTGTGTGTTTCCTGTCAGTGTCCTCGAACAGCTTGTGAAGAGGAAGTTCATTTGTGGCATTCTGAGCTTCTTTCTGTTCATGTTAAAATGGCGATGAATTGTTAGTGCCCTTAAATTAGAGAGGTGTGATTGCAGCAAAAGCCCAGGCAGAGGGAGCTTCTGACCTGCACAAGTTCATTTTTTTTCATGTCAGAAATATCTTGAGATGTGTGAAGATAATGGCGTGGCTTGGGAAAATATTTTATTGGCAAACTCATCTTACTTTGTATTTTTAACCACTGAAGTGTCACTCCAGTTTACAAGTGGGCTCAACGTGTGTTTTTTTATGAAGTACTTAAAAATGCAAGAAGAGCTCTCATTTGCTTCCCCCACCAGTTTCCACTTACTGATTTCACTGAGAGGATGTATGAATTTTATGAAGCAAAAAGAGAAGAATTCAAACAAGCAGGGGGCAGCTTTAATATAAAACAGTGTGCAGCACGTTGTGTTATGCACGTAGTATGAATTCAGTCATGGTATGTAAAAGTCACTTTTCCTGTCAGTAGTACACGTTTGACGTTGTATGAAAACACTCTTTTTCTGCTGGAAATATAAGACCTATTTGGTATTGTTTTTGTTGTTGTTTGTTTGTTTTCTAACAGTAAAGAGGGATTTATTAGTATTTCCTGGCAACAGAAGAAAAAGAAATCTGAGGTATGGTGGCTCCCAGGCTGAAGGGAAGAGCTTGCTCAGCAGTGACACCCAAGAAGACAAGCTCATGGGAGGTCAGCTCTGGTGGATGGTAACCAGGCCCTGTGCTCTCCACCTAGTTGTGTATGGTAGGGATTTTCTGCTTCCTCAGAATGTTTCCATCTTTTTAAATAGTGCTCCATAACTGCAAACAGAGTGGGCCTCAGGTGTGTCTGAGAGAGCTCCTCTCTGGCAGGCACACAGCTTTTAAGTAAAACTGGGGGATTTCTAGTTAGGAATCCAGAAAGAACTACATCTCCCAGTGGCCCACAGGCCGCCTCCCTCCCATGCCCGGTGGCAGACGGGAGCACGGCAGCAGTGAGGCCGGCGGCGAGGAAGTGGTTGTGGTCTGGGCCTGGCAGGGCCATGGAGTTCTCCAGGCAGCTCTATGCAATCAGCGAGGCGCTGGACAGGGCTGAGCTGGCGGCTCTGAAGTTTCTCAGCTTGGAGCACGTCCCTGTGAGGAAGCAGGAAGCCATCGAGGAGCCCAAGGCCTTCTTCCAGGTGCTGCTGGAGAAAGGCATGATTGAGGCGGGGGACTTGGCCTTCCTGCGGGAGCTGCTCTACCGGATCAATCGGATGGACCTCCTGGCTGCCCAGCTGGGCTCCAGCCGAGAGGCGATGGAGAGGGAGCTTCAGATCCCAGGCAGGGCACGGGTGTCGCAGTTCAGGTGAGTTGCTGGTGGATTCAGGTGAGGTGGCCGGGGGTGGTGTTGGACTGAGCCTGGCCCTGGAGCTTGCTCTCTGGGACCCGGTGACCTCAGGTGGGTCTGTGTAAGTTTTTTACTGATGAGTTGAACACCCAACTAAGGTTTGGAAACACACAAGCTCCTGCATCTTTCCAGGGGAAAGCAGGTATAAGCAGTAGAGAAAATAGAAATGTCTGTCCACTAAAAGGGAGAAAACAGCTGCACCTTTCTGAAGCAGTTCACAGCCTACCATGGTCTTCCCTCCCCCCCCCCAAGTGCTGTGGGCTGTAGTAAGTGACTGGCTGTGACTCTGTCTCTGCACTCGGTACTAGAAAGTCTCAGTGCAGTTTTGATTTTAGGAAAACACAGATTTTTTTTAATTACAGCTGGAAATGGTTTGATATTTGGCTGTTCTGTTACTGATATTCCCTCAGGCTAAAAAGGAAAAAAGGGTCCCATGTACTTGAGAAGGCAGCACAAAGGAGACTAAGGGGACAGTTCAACAGTACCGTGCCAAGTTGTGTGCTAGGGAACACGGTGAAACAATGTTCTCCACTGCTCTTTCTAGGTACCTACTCTTTCAGCTGTCAGAAAACATCACGAAAGAGGAGATGAAGTGTTTCAAATTTCTTTTGGGGAAAGAATTACCAAAATGCAAGCTAAGCCCTGAAACTGTAAGAATTGCTTTAATATTTTATTTTATTTTATTTATTTAATTATTACCATAATGCATTGTAGCATTTGGGTTGTTCTGTGGGGAATGAGTGTCACTAAAACTGAAAAGACCATAAGGAAAAGGGTGACCCTTTTTCTTCTGTGCTAGTATTGACGTGTAGCTCTAGCAGTAGTCCTACAGCCCAGGGTGGATGGGCCAGCCCTGGGACAGGCATGACACTCAGTGGCTTTGATCACTGGCTGTTGAGCTCATTCACTAATCTTTTCTGACTGATTTTGTTTTGGCTGCCTTCTAAGCCATTATCAAACATAGCGAATCACCCACTGTGGCTATTACTTTATGTTTTGGTAATGTTTATTTCCAAACTCAGAATACAGATCTAGGCAGCAGATCCTTACCTGCGCTAATACCCAAGAGCTTGGAGTTAACTTAGAGAGATCCAGCTGCTCTTACACTATATCAGCCTGCAATTCTGACTGCCTAATGATAACTCCTTCTTTTAAAATCTTCCCTCTTAGAGTAAAAACTGCAACCAATGAGTGGTACCTGTTCTAGTAAATCCATGGGGTGACCACTGTGCTCTACCATTCACTGTTTGGCAAGAGGTCCTGTCCCTTAGGTTCCCTCTTGCTTCAGAGAACTCTTTATACTGTACTTGCATGGTTATACCCATTGTTACCACTGCCTGAAATTGGTCACTAGTGTCATGCTTGTGTTTCTGCTGAGTGCAAAAAATTGCCACTGTAAGTCAGCTCAAAGAAAGAAGTAATAAAAGTGATCTTTTTTTTTTTTTTTTTTTCCCTCCTGTGTGATCACCATTAGCTCTCCTGGATTAGAACTCAGCATTTCTGAGCAGTGTGAAGGAAATATGCATGTTGAAAAGATACTTTTATTCAGGCTGGCTTGGGTGCACATGCACATGCTGCAGCTTCCTTCCCAGTAGCAGCATGGATGTGTCCTAAGAGCAAACTACCTTTCTGATTGCCCAGACAATGCTCGACGTTTTCATTGAGATGGAGAAGAAGGGGATTTTGGGAGAAGACAACCTTACTGTCCTGAAGACTCTTTGTGAAAAAATTGACAAGAGCCTGTTGAAGAAAATTGAAGAATATGAATTAAACCTATTTGGTAAACTAAACCAAACCAAAACAAGGCCTCTTTCCCACAAGTCTTGAAGTGACACTTAGCTGTCTTACAGGACTAATAATGAATTAATTAATGCTTTTCAGGTGAAGAAGAGATGCTTGTAACAGAAGGACAGAGGAGCAGCACAGAAGTCACTGAAGGTAAGTGAAACTCCGTCAAAAATGAATCTTTTGCTTTTCTCCAGCTTTTGGACCTTCTACATCACTTGCATCTCACTTTTTTACACGTGCCTCTCTGAAAAGTGATCAGGTATGCAGCTGTTTACTCACTCATCACAGTACTTTCAACTCCCTTTTAGGTGATTTTTCTTGGTGTGGTTTATAACTAACAAGAACAGTCATTCAACCACAGTTCAGTATTTTCAGAGAACAGTTTAACTCTTGGAACGACTTGTGAATAGAGAATACGAACAGAGATTCAATTCTTTCTGTAATGTTATGTTCTCTACTTACACATACTTTCTTTATGTGTATTCAGCCTGTCCCAGATTGCTGGCATCATCTGTGGCACGTGATTCTCCTGGCAGTTGTGATCAGTCTTCCCAGGTAAGTCAGTACGTGTCTTAAAAATGCCATAATTTTGTCTCAGAAGAGACCATTCCTTTGGGAGGCAAACAGTTCTTATATGCACAGCTTGTTAAAGGTGCAATCTAGAAAAATAAAAATGCACTCTGTAATGTCCCTTATTTTGACACTAAGTCATGGGCAGAACCTGCTGCAGGGTTAAAACATAAAAAACCAAAACAAACATTTGTGAAATAGCAAGGTAAGCCAAGTTTGTTATACCAGGAAGTACACAGTAGGTAGATGACTGGGCCTGGAAAAAGTAGGCATATGCAGCACCCTTTGTGGGCCAAGCATGATGGTGAAGGCTTGGAGGGGCTGTTATTTAGCACCAAAGACTCCCAGAGGTGGTGGAGCAGCACGTTGCCACATCCTGGGAGCAAAGCCTGTGCAGGGAGAGCTGCACAGCGAGGCCAGTTGCCTCCTTACCCCTCTGTGCCACAAGCAAGGGCTGAGAAGCAGTCACAAGCAGTCTGTCTTTCCAACAGCTTGAAGCTTACAAAATGACAAGCCGACCCCGTGGAGTATGCCTGATCCTGAATAATCACAATTTTGCAAAAGCCAGGAAAGCAGTGCCAGAACTCAAAAAGATGAATGATCGGAACGGGACAGACGTAGATGCAGGTACAGTGAACATTAAAGATGACTTTGCATATCTTCACTTCAGGGAGAGTAGACTGACTTAAAAATAGGAAACATTTTGTATTCTGCACTAGGTATTTGAATTTCAAGCTTCCATTTCTAGTCTACTTTTCTGGTAGTGACTGAGTTGCATATTACTAAAATCTGCAGAAGCAGATTTGCTACAGAACCAGAATTTGGATTTTAGTTAACTTCCAGCTTAAAGGGGAAAAAAAAAAAGTTTTGTGGGTGGCATGGAGTTTAGGGACTCTATTATGTTGCTATTCAGTGGCCCTGATTTTAGCAGGCTGTCCTGCAAGAGCAGTGTAGCTCATTGCAGGTCCTTAGATCCTCGAAACGGGCATATTTGCACTATCTAGACCAAGAGATAAAATCCATCGGCAGGACTTCGCTGATTGACTTGAACCTTAACTTAATTCAAGAGTCAGAGTGCAAGTAATCTTCTTGTGACACAGGTGTTACCCAAAAATGTAATGCCTCCACCCTCGGGGAAAGCAATAGCAATGTTTGACACCTGTTGCAAGAGGCAAAGACTAACTGTAAAAGTTGGCTGGGGAGGTAACAGCTAGTTCTGCACTTTGCCGTACAAAGGCAATACTAAACAGCAAAATCACAAGGTAGGCTTGTAATGAGGGCTAAGGGAATTTGATACAAATGTGATTAGTGATCAGACATCTAGATTATTTTCAGAGCAGGAGTGTAACTACCTGGATAGTAGTATAGCAGGATGAAAAATAAATGGCTTCCTCTAGAAACATAACTTGCAAAAGGAGTCCAGATTTTATAAAACTGCTTTAGTCACCCTTCTGTTTGCTTTTCAGCTGCTCTGAGCAAAGTCTTCGGCACCCTTCATTTTATAATAAAAGAATATAAAGACCTCACTGCAGAAGAAATCCGTAAGATTGTGAACATCTACCGGTGCCAAGATCACAATGACAAAGACTGTTTTGTTTGCTGTGTTCTCTCTCATGGAAAAAAAGGCGTTATATATGGTGTTGATGGACAGGAAGTACGTATCCAGGAACTGACCACTTCTTTCACTGGGCAGAATTGCCACTCACTTGCTGGAAAACCAAAAGTCTTCTTTGTTCAGGCATGCCAAGGTGATGCTCGTCAGAAAGGTGTAACCATTGAAACAGATTCTGGGGAGCAAGATTCTTCTCTAGAAGCAGATGCAAGATTTCAGCTTGAGTGTATTCCCTCAGAGGCAGACTTCCTCTTGGGCATGGCTACCTTGCAAGACTATGTTTCCTATAGAAGCTCAAGCCAGGGAAGCTGGTACATACAGTCACTATGCCAGCACTTGGAGAACAGCTGTCCTCGGTAACTGTATTTCCATAAACTACTTTGTGGCAACACTATTTTTTTTTAAATTCTGAATTCCAAGAGTTTGATTTGAATGCAGTGGTAGATGATATGCAGTGGCAGGGCTTGCTCAGAGTGAAAACAGCAATTTAGAACAGAGTAACACCATTTAGATTGTTTGAAGCAGTTACCTAACTGCTTTGAAGCCTCTTTAAAACCGGAGCTGTTAGCACTTGCATAGGTTATGATATATGAGAATGCAGTATGTTTTGTGATGTTAAATGCTGCTATAATACAAAATGTACTTGTATTTTTGCAGAGGAGAAGATATTCTCACCATCCTGACAGCTGTGAATCAAGAGGTGAGCAGAAAGATTGACAAACAGAATGCAGCGAAGCAGATGCCGCAGCCCAGTTTCACACTGAGGAAAAAGCTCATCTTTCCTGTCAACTAAATGAGAGAGAACTGCAGAGCAAGAGGAGCTGCAGCAGCCTTAAACAGCTGGTATCAGCTAAGAATTTGGTAAAACATAACAGACTTTCAGTGTCTACTGGTAGCACAAATGCAACTGTTTTTATTGATAATAGACAAGGAGCAAAAGTCTTAAGAACTTAGTATTAATTTGTGTGACACTTTATACCTGAGAGCATCTCCCCTGGTCTCGAATTTGTCGTTTGCTAGCATAAAATACACTCAGGGTCCTTTCAGCTGTACCACAATTGCTGTTTCTTTATTAAGATATATTGCAAATGCAAGTTTAAGAAGACAAGTTATAAAGCCTTGTGTATTTTATACTTACTTTTCTAAAATAAAAGGGGGGGGGCTGCCAATTTTACAGGATACATGCATTAGTGTGTTTTGTTACTTTCTCTCTCCCCCCCCCCCCCCCCCCCCCCCCCAAAATAATTTACCCTGCTTGTCAGACTGTAGATCAGCCCGCTGGGGATCAAGTACAGTCAAATTGGTGAACTCATGCTGTTCCCTTTCCCTTAGAGGTGAGGCTGGATCTTCTTTAGTCCTATGGATGATACATATGGACAAAATTTAAGTGAGCCAAGAGATTCTGAATTCATGAGTCTGACTGACAGCATGCTCATATAGGAAACTTTTCCTTGGGAATCAAAAGGAAAAGATAAAGCAAATGCAAACTGTTGGCTGTGCTGAGGGAGACAGTTACACAGGATTTCATGGTGTAAAAATAGGGGTGACTTTTCCAGCAAGATTAATGTGTGCCATAAACCAGGTCTTACTATGAATCCCCTCATATAATGCGTAATGAATCCAGTTAGCAATTCTTCAATTAGAAGTCAAATCTGTAAGTTTTCAATCTTTTCCACAATTAGTCTTCTCCTATAAAGCAACTGCCATCTAGCTAATTCATAAGGAATCCTTGCAGCTCCACAGACTAATTATTCACTACACTTATTCACATGAAGGAAAAAGGAAATCACCTCTACTTCTAATGCTTCTGGTAGCAAATACGTAAAGCTACATGACAACCACTGGACAGGCTTCAAAGGGCCTGTGCATGTTGCTGAGGCACACATATTGTATGGTATTAGAGGCACTCCTGCCACTGTGACGGCATACCAGGCAGTGACAAGTGTACAGCCATTGATGGGCCAGAGCACACACAGCAGAATAAGCATGTACAGATTTTAGAGCATTCTAACTTCATGCCAACTCTTTGCTCACTAATTCTGTACTTACCTCAGGATAACATTCTCATCAAGGAGCAAAAGTGCAGTCATCTGGTGTTTTTCTTCAACTGATGTAATGTTCTGCTTGATGCTTCTCTTCTGCATTAGATATTTTGCTTGCTTTGTGGCAAAGGAAGGGAAGAAAAAGCATTTTTTTTTCTTTATAAATTTGAGCAGCATCACAATTGGTAAATACAAACAGCGGCAAATTGTTAATTTGATTTGTGACAAACAAATATTAACAAATAACAAACACAGTTACTTTGACTCCCTCCTTGCTTCCCTAGTCACTTTAAATATATATATATATATTATAATATAATATATATATATATATATATATATATATTATATATATAATATATATATATATATATATATAATATATATATATATATTATAATAATATATAATATATATTATTATTTATTTTATTTTAAAGGAACAGATCGTTAAAACTGTCACCCAGAAATAGTCTGAAATAGCCTAAATTTCAGAAAGTGAGGACTTCCCTTTATTCCCCCTTGTATGCATTTGCAGGTAGCGCTCTGGTAGTACAGCTCTAGGTAGACCACCATGATCTTTTACACCAACATAGAGCTTCCTAAAAGCTAACGGACAGGGCACTACTGCAGGTTGCCAGCATATCCTTTCTTAAGCAAATTTCCAAAGGGAAGTGAGCCAATTAGCAATAAGCTAAATTTGCTGTAAGTTGAAAGAGAAAAAGAGTGTGACAGTAAAATGCAGAGCCTTTCTTACACATACAGAACAGAGTCAGACCCACAGGAAGCAAACATCCACACTGCAACAGGGCCCAAGATTTTTGTGCTGTCCTTATGCTGAATGTTGTAGTATCTACAGCCTCCACGGCAGGGGAGTGCCCAGATTATCATTTGTAAAGAGTAGTGACTTAGAGGTGAAAGAGTAGGGAGCCTTAAAATACACGGCAGACATGTACCAGACATCAAGCAACACACTCACACTCTCCCTTAAAAGGTGTGACTCCACCCCTTCAGGTATGTTTCCTAACTCCATGGATTCCTGCTTAGGACATTTGAGACCCACTCCCCAGTGCCTCCAGTGCAACCTTTATACAGCAAAAATAACTGATGTCAATGAAAGAGAAACAAGTATTGCTGCTTAGGTGCTTCAGTTCAAAGGAATTCCTGGAGAGAAAGAGCTGAAAAAATAAAACACCAAAGCCTATCATAGCAATGCTAATATTTTCCAAGTATATTCGTTTAAAAAAATCCCTGTTACTGCCTTCTCCCACCTCACTCCTCAGCTCTGCAGCATTCCCTGCTTCTATTTTTTCAGCTTTAGGAGATAACATCTTCCTTGGACTATGGGCCATGCTGTATCACGTGCCAAGGCAGTGTGCAACAGACCAAGACTACGACCTGCCTTGACTCCCTACTAACCTTACCAGTACTAGCAAATTCCTGTTTTAGCCTGGTCTTACCAGAGTGACCATGAAGCTAGGCACTGGCTTAGTCAAAAAGCATCAGAACTGATATATGAGATAAATGGAACTATGATTTACAGGTGTCAGTTGCCGGCATTCATCTTGCTACTGAGAAGAAAAATATTTTATGAAATTTAAAAGTATGAGAATGGCTGCATGGCATTAACTTCCCTCACAGGCCAGACAAGGGAGTGGAACCTCTGCAGATGTCTTATTTGCACCTTTGGTGAGTGCTACAGTGTTATCTCACATGCTTCTTTGAAGCTCATTCTGGCCATCCTGCAGCATGGTCCCACAGCTTCAAGTTCCTCTTTCTCCTTGAGATCTGTCTCCAGAAAATCACAAAGGGTCATAGGATGAAAACACATACCTCACCACTCTGTCTTACAGCCCTACCCACTCTTCTTCCGCTCTCCCCAATGAACCCTTGGGGCCCACTGAGTCACACTGCAGCTACAAGAGCCTTGTGCCCAAGCCCCTTACAGTATGGATTAACTCCCATTCCTAACAGCACACATCTCCTTGGCTAACTCAGCAATGCAGAAATAATACATGGCTTCCAGCATAATTACCCTCTCACTCAGCACAGCAAAGGCTAACTGTCTTGGATCGCAGTGGCTGACTCGAGGAGACAGCCCTTCCTGGAGGCAGTGCCGTGAGACTGCTCTCCCTTATACTAACTGACTGGGCAAGTCCAGCTTCGAGTTACAGGAATGGATCCTGCCTGCTGAAGAGTTCCACTAAACTGCTGTATCCTTCAGAAAACCTAAGTATGTTGTATGTTCCTCAATCTGGCCAGCTGGTATCGGCCTTTGTGCAGCCAAAATAATGCAGTTGTAGATTATAATTACAGGTGTTCTAAAATCTTAGGGGAAAATATTTGTGGTTTTGTTTTACTTTTTCCTTTATGAAGAGATGTTTTAAACCAAATAACACCAAATTACTGAATTACAGCAGCACATGTGGTAAGGGACCTGATCAAGCTGCAACATGAAGTGTTTGAAGATGACTCATACTTAAGGTAGCCAGAAAGAAATCCATTTAAGCAAAAGATTCATTTTTAGCCTATGGTTGCTTTCTAAGGGGGGGGGGGGGGGGGAGGTGTGTGCCAAAAGCTCTGGGACACCTTGCCCAGCCTCCCTGCCCTTCAGGCTTGAAGGCACGCTCCCTACAAACTTGATGTGAAATAATCCCTAGCCAATTAGTAAAGGTGTGCCACTCACACATCCGGACTGCATAGGTTTTCTTACTGCTTCTAGAGTCAAAGTTGTCTTCTGGACTTCTGTGGCTCTTCTGCTTTCTCAAGTGTCTTGCTCATGGTGTTTCAGAAACACTTGGAGAAAAAGAAAAAAAAAAAAAGTACTTGTAAAGCTTGTGCTCATTATTCCTGCCTGAAGTGTGCTGTGAGATGCCAAAAAAAAAAAAAAAAACCCAACAAAAAAAAAACCCACCACACACACATACACACACACACACACACACACCAAGTTATTTAAGGTATTGTAACTGTGTCTAACAGCAAATACAGATGGTATTTGACACTTTCTGCACTCCCTAGGACTGTAAGGCAAAACATCAGAGTCTGAATCATTGAGACACTGGCATAATGAAAAGGGAGAGAAAATGCTCTTGCCAGAAATAAGAGAACCAGTTTTGAAGGCAACAGAGGACTAATTTGTAGTGCCTCGGCAGTGTCCTTAGAATAGCATTTATGACTGGGAGGAAAAAAGATGAATCAATACTGCTGCATTTGTCATCCTTGCAGTGTCTCTAGTGAGAGAACACAGCATTAATACCTCTCTTGAACAGCAGGGAAGGAAACAATTGCTGAGTGTGCACAACCCCCTCCCTCCTGGAGCACCAGCTAGGGAGAAGCACTAGCAAGTGGTGCCCCACAACAGTCAGACTAGGGCAGGATCTACAGATCAGTCGCTCTCCCAGCACCAACTTTTCAAATTTTGGAGGAAACCTGAATGAAATGCAGGTATGAAATATGATTTCGTTCCCAATTTCAGTGAATTTGTGTCCAAGAGCAGCTAGCAGTACAGAGCTATCACAGAACGATGAGACACCCTTCAGGAAGACTACAGAGAGATGTTCTTTATCCCATGTGAGCTGGTAGCCAGACACAATTTCCAAAGCCTTTACAGCAGCCTGGGGAACACAGAGAGGAAATACTCATAATTCATAATTTTTGTTCCTGATTCTGGATAATAACATTTACTCTTAACATGAGGATGGGGATATGGAAACATGACATTTAGCCCTTAAGGTGAATTTAAACCCTTAATCACATCTAAGCCCTCAAAACCAATTAAAGAAACCAACATAAACCAACCTACAATCCTTCTCATGAATTAGTCAGTTGCACCCATGTGACATTAAAAGGATTTCTGTGTCATAATAGCAGGCCCCAAGACAAGACCAGCATGTATCTCAGCAAAATGAAGTATTTTGTACATGATTCAGCCTATTATATGCTGAATTTCTAAGCCATGAAAATAGTTGCTTGGTAGATTTGCCTGCTTCTCCCTCATGTTTTCTATGGAAGAATGTGAGATGGGATTATATTGATTGTATGGTGGCATGTCAGTTTGGGGTGATGAATCAGAAACACTTCTCCCTCAGACACCAATTAAACTGCATTCTTCTACTATATCAGTATGTAGAGCAATTGTGAAGCATGAGAAGTAAATTGACAAAAGTTGTCAATCATGAAGCAAAAAGCAAAAGCAGGTATCAAATTGCTGACTGACTAACTGGGTGTCCAAATATCAGCCTTTACTGACAGCCAAGAGACGAGTTTTGAGAGTGGCAGTTTCAAATTGTTTGGCAGTGACAAATTGTTTTTCTGGAACAAAAACAATTTGTCACTGACCCAAGTGATGAATAAGCCACAAGTCCATCAGCACAAGTCGGCTAGCAATCATCTTCCATGATCCAGCTAAGACTATGGCACACTCCTAAATAACGCAGAACAAATCAAGAGCTTAGAGTTACCACAAGACGTCACTTATCTGAGAAACAAAATAGGGTACTGGTGCAATCTATATATCAATCTATATATTGCCAATTGGAGCTGCAGCTGGAGCCACCTGTGCAGACTTTTATGCATATATCCTCCAGGCAGAGAGTTCATTACTGCAAGTGAGCCATGATGATAGCCTATAATGGAGAACTGTCAGCCTGTGTTACTGTTTCAGCCTGTGTTACTAAAGCCTGTGTTACTAAAGCAAATTGTAACACTGTTAGCACCAGGAGACAGAGAGCAACAATCCTGCCTGTGGGGCCAATGCTGAGCACCTCATTTTCTTTAAATGAGAAAATTCCCTAAAACAGCATAACCCTTATCAACAACCACTCTCATGTTAACGTAATTTACACCCTGCTTGATAAGCCAGAAGGAAATAAGCATAACATTAATTTAATGACTCAATCTGGAACTGCAGAGGATTTTTCATAATAATACTGAGTTCTGTGGACTTAGTGGCCAGGATGCAAAGATATTGACTGTTTTCTACCCCGGTACGGATTCCTGATACACTATGCACAACTCACACAAGCACAAAAAGGAACATGAGCATTCAGGAATTCTGGAATGAGGAAAGCATTTCATTTTGCTGATCAGACCAGCTCTAATACAACATCAGTAGCATCAGCACTGTTTCTCTGGTTACTGGCTGAATGCCTGAACTATGATCATTAGGTAACAAGGACATAAACATTTGAGGTTGGGAGGGGAGGGGGCAGACCGTTCAGCCATAGAAGGGCATGTAAATCTTTAGTGCCACAGTGTGCCTAGCACACTACTGTGGTCATTTGGGGGACTTACGGTTGGCTGCTTGCTTTCCAGAGTCTGTAATAGAAACCTGTATCTTGCTTTCTTTTTCTCTTTACGTATTTGTTTCTTACATATGAATGCCAGAACTAGTTCTCTCAGATATAATTCTGAATGATTAAAAAGAAAGTCAATACACTATCTCGGAGGGGGGGGGAGGGAAGGATCTTGTCAGAAGAATTTGGATTCCTTTTCAGAATCCTTCTGTATAATATGCACACACAATAATATGGATAGAAGCAGTGACAGAGTTAACTCTTGCTGGCTGTCTAAAACTTGGATAAACATTGAAGGCTGAAATGTTAGTACAAGGAAGTCATAAATATCATTAGGAAAAAAAAACAAACATAGTAACAGTAATTTCCTAAGTCAGATATAAGACCAATACTAAAATAATACAGTTCAAGAAGGGCTGTATGAATTTGTTATATTATAGTATAAAGAAAGTTTGACAAAGGCATATTTTGTTGGGTATTTTCTAAGACATCAATATGAAAGAAAGGGCTTTAAGAGGGGTCTTAACCAGTTAGCAGGAGCCACCTAGGAGGCTGCCTTGTGATGCCCTCACTGCACGTTACTGAGGCACACCTGAGCTTTCTGTTCAGTTCTAGCTCTTCTTCTGCAGCTTCAAAGGGGTTACAACTCTTACTGAGTATTGAGGCAAGTGCCGTAGGTTGAAGAGCTGCAGCACTTCCACAAGACATCTCTAGTTAAAGCAAGGTTCCAGTTACTACGGGCAGCCAAAGCTTTTAGGGAATTATATTTTTAGGGGTTGGGAGCAGGGTATAAACTTCACCTTTCCATGTGGTAAAGCATTTAATCTTTTATACCGAGATCTCTCCTCTTTTAAGCAGATACTCATTTGGACATCCTGGAAGGTTTTGCATAAGGTAGAACGTTATTTTGGCTTTCTGAGTTCCTTAGTGAAAGGGGCCTGATTTTAAAATAAGAAATAGAATTATTTATGCTTTAGATAAGCCACAATTCACAGAAAAAAAAAAAAAAAAAAAAAAAAAGAACAAAACAAAACACCACCTGTTTCCTGGCTTTACACTGACAAATCTTTTAACTGTTTTCTTTTAAAATTTTGTAGGTTCTCTTATCTGTTATAACCTGTACACATTAATATGGACTCAGATAGTAGATCCTATGCGATGATGTTAAAAAGGCATAAATTACTGTCCATCATGGAGCTGCTGAGATAATCTGTTAGTGCTCTCTTAGCCTGCACCAATCATGAGGTAAAAGGTATTAGCCTAACTTTTTTACATTTTGTATATACGATACTTTACATCAGCATGTATACTCTATGGCATGCAACTATTTAAAAATGTCTACAAGAATCTTAACACACAGGCATATCATTATTTGTTGAATTATAATGCTACCATATAGAAAAAAACTCAAATCCCAAACTGAATAAAGCTGAAAGAAAGATAAGAGCATTTTGAGAACAGATGTTAAGAACTTAAAGTCCTCATTACTCCTACTCACACATTTCTTGCTTACCTTGCCCAAGTGTGAGCAGGAGTAAAAGAGCACTTACTACATCTCTTACCACTTTTGTTGCAAGGATTTTGGTAAACACTGTATATAGAGGGAGTCTGAGTCATGACTACCTACTAGGAATGCTGTTAAAAATACTAAAAGAGAAGTGAGGAGAATTCAGTATTAGATCTGTTGTTATTTATTTAGTGCACCTTCCTCCATTTTCTTAGAGAGCCTCATGTTGTCAAAGCAGGTATGTTATTGAAGGTCAAAAGTCAGTTACTGCATACAGATCTGTAAATCTTGTTTGAGCAGCAACTGCTATATGTCCAGTAAAATTTCTTCAAAATTTGTTCATAGAGGAATGGATCTAATAAGATGTTTTGGGCTTGTGCACAAGTACTAGAGACTAGTCTTGTCTTAAACAACTTGCAGTATACCCAGTTTGGTCACATAGGTAATGGTAGGTATGAATGTATTGAGTGTTTTACATGTTCTGCAGGCAGATGCCTACTTTCATCAGTCTTAAGAATTAGCTACTTTTATCAATACAGATAATGGATTGAGAGTACAGATCGACTTTATATATACACCAAATAAAAGTGAAAATGATCACACATCTTTTAATACCCTCCTTTGAACATGAGCTTCAACTGATAAAACAAAACAAAACAAAACAACAACAACAACAAAAAAAAAACTAAAATGGCAATTGAACTTAATAAAAGCAGTAAAGCCTACTCAATTCTCCCCAGCTCTCACCCCACAAGAGCTACTAAACATTCATTAAGAGGTTAGCAAGATCTACATGTGCTGAGTAAGCAGAAGTCTGTCCTTCCAACTATTAATATAATACCAGAAAGAGTGAGGGTGAGTGAGGGTAACTCCCAGCATGAGTCCTACAGGGCCTTCACTAAATCCTGCCCTGCTGAATCAAAGAACTTTTGTAACTGACCTCTAATGGCTTCAGTTTAACTCACTTCCCAGAAGCTCAACAGCATCAGACCTTTCCCCTTATTACATCTGAAGTGCTAGAGAATATGTAAAAAAAAAAAAAAAAAAAAAGTCCACAGACTCTCAAACCTGAGAGCGTATCTGCTTAGAACAAAGCAGCTGGCTGTACCCGTTGGGCTCTGGTGTTTCAGGACAGATGAAATGAACAGAAAAGAGTGGCTGCTTTTCTGGGCCTTCTTCCCCCAAACTCACCTTTCTCTCCAGTGGCAGTGGAATCCCTCATCATCCTGAAAACTGGAGAACTTTAAAGAGTACATGCAATGTTTTACTGGGCTTTCTGAAGGATACACAGATGTGTTATGTCAGCAGCTGAGAAGCTAGGAAGCCCAAACCTTAAGGAGAGAATGACTAAAATACATAAACATCATCAAATCAACATTTATGTATATATGCTTTGTTAACATCACCATGTTATGTATGACAATAATAGGAACTTTTATCTGTCTGGCAAATGGTGTAACAAAACAGAGAAAATGTCCCAAGTTTGTTGTGGTGGCCTACTGTAAGGATGTGCAGCTATCAGAGACTGCGTCATGACCATTTCAACCCTCAAAACGTCCAACTCAGGCTTCAGCATATGAAATGTTGAGCTGAAAAGTCAGCTTCAGTTTGACAAGGGTGCAAGTCTCATGTCAGAAAAGAAAGAAAGCTCAATAAATATAGGATATATACCATAGGATAGTGGTGGTTCCCAGTTTCTTGAAATGTTCGACACACAGACTACTAGAGGAACCACTGCCAGTTAGGTGAACTGGAGTAAGAACCTGTTAGTTGCAAATCAATGCTGCTTCCATTCTGTACCATGGAAGGAACCAAGTATTTTGGGGAAAATGATAAGAGCCTTTCAGCCAGAAAAACAATTGCAGAAGTGTGCACTGGAAGTATGTACAACTGCAGGCTGACATGACAATCAATGTGCAAAGGGAACTTCAGTGATACCTGCACGAAGGCAGTACTCAAGGGTAAGTAGCTTGGTTTCAATCTCTGCTCCCATTTTATGACAAATATAGAGGAGGGCTGACATAACATCAGCTACTAAGACAGAAAAACAACAGCATTGATCATACACATCTCTGTAAAAAAAAAAAAAACAATCCTCCCTTGAAGGCCTGAAGAAAACAAGGGAAGAATATATACTTCCAAACAGGAGACCATAAATGCAGAACCCCTCCCTGACCTAATGGATACTTAAGTCTAGCAAAGAAGTCCAATCTCTTTTCTATTTTTTGCTAGTTGACACCATTATGCTAAAACACATTATGTGCTGTAAAATGACAGGAGAGAAAAACAACGACAAGAGTAACAGAAAACGTGAGGACATTCATTTAAATTGAGGCTCACATTCTGTCTAGAAATTGATGAGCTGTTTATGAATTTCTGTGAAGTCTTTCATTAAGCAAAATGCTTTTCAAAATGCAGCAGAAGGTACTCTTATTTAAGTGTGTGTTTGTTTTGTTTTTCTAGATTTAACTATCACACTTTTACATTGCAATCAAAGTCTAACTGCAGCTTGTATTGCACATCTATACTACGTTTAATTGCTTAGGTATAAACACAACAGCAAACAGCCTAGCACAGCCTGATAAAGTTTTTGAATCCATTTGTCAGATAGCTTTTACAGACGGTGCTTGTGAAGATACCAGCTCACCAAGCTTGTGCACCAGTCACTACATTCCAGCCAATTTTTAAAAAGGTCTAATTTTAGTTTTATTAAAGAATGTTGCAGTATAGAAGGTGATACCTGGAATAAACCACACAAGGTGACCAATATATTGAAAAATGATGTTACTCATGTTTATTATGAAATTCACATTCCACTATGAAACAACAGTAAGTGCAAAAAGCTGATGAAAATAAACACAAAACAACAAAAGTTCCCAGACCATTCAAAAACATTGTGTGTAATCCTCTTTGTGTAACAGTCAAAGGAGGCCCAAACCTAACATTCTTCTTCCCTCTCTGCTGCTCTTTAACTAAAAGTAGACTTTTGCGTCATCAACCACATGTATTTCAAGTGTGCAGTTATCTCCAAGTTTACCAAACACAGTGAAACTTGAGCTGTGTATCTTTAAAACTAGAAAGCTATACATTTGTACTTAGTTTAAGCCAATCTGAGTAAAGGTAAAAACTAAAAGAATTTCTCTCCCAGTGTCTTGAAACTTTCCATAAAACATGGGTAATTCCTTTCTTTGCAACACTTATTTTTGTCTCAAACCTGCAAGGTAACAGAATCTTTGCCAAGTGCCATTTCTCCATCAATTCTTCATTAACTCACTCAACCAAATCACATTTGCACAGGACAAAATAATCTTACGCAGGAGCTCAGCCATCTTAGTCACACAAGTTTGTTTCATCTCTTGTAAGAAGCAACAAGCCAAATCAGTTCCTAGAACAATGGCAACTTTAATGTTTTATCAGAAACATATATGTTATTCAAAAAAAAGTTTGTCTTCTAGAATTTTGGCACAAAGCAGTAAACTTGGAAGAAGTGGCAAATCTTTCCCTGTTGCTGCAAGCCAGACACATGCATACAAAATGCACAACAGAATTTCAATAGCACTGTGCCACAGCATCAAAAACTGGATAAATGCAACAGTATACAAATTCTTTCATCATCTTCCTGCCTTGTGTAAAGTATCTGAGAATACATTATCCTACAGAAAAGAGACAAACAATCTTGCAACATATCAGTAATACAGTTTGAACTGAACCAGTTTATATTGCCCGGCTATGCAATATGGAAATGTCCCAAAGAGAAACATGCATTTAATTAATGTGCTGTTATATAAATTTTAATGGAAACCTGGTCTGCCAAAGGAATTCTGATTTAATTGATTTGCTGTTTATGTTGATAACACACAGTGATTGAATGGCTGGGGTTAACTAATGAAGCTAGTTAGAAACACAGTGAAATACCTTTAAAAAATTTTCTGTCACTTACTTACATGTATTCCTATAATAAACGTACAAAAAATGGACATACTTTTGACACATTATATACTTCTCTGTTTATACCGAACTGCCTAACCTTCTGTCAACTCATTTCTTAGTTCACTGGAGAGCAACATTACCTCTTCCCAGACCTTTCATTCTTACCTTATTTAGCTAGGTAAGACCCTGTGCACAGTTAAGGAAGTACAAACAAATACACAATAGTAGTATATAATTTTCATTAAAAAAAAATATTAACCCGTATATAGTATTTTAAATAAAATTCACCTTTTATAAGTTTAAGTTTTTGCTTAGATAGCAAGAGGCAACTCCAGGAATTCCTGAATATTTCTGTGCGTTGCTGACAGACAAGTTTCTGTTGAGAATCCCTGTGCAAGTTTGAGGTGGTTACTCGTTTTAATTAAAAAAAAAAGAAAAAAAAAAAAAGAAAGACTGCTATATCAGAGAGTAATCATAAGATCTATAGTGATGTAAAAGCAGAAAGGCCACATATAAATCAGTTTAAGACACTTTGTTCTCCTACCCTATTCCACTCAACCCTGAAGCAAAAACGATGCTGATTATTTTGATGTGCCATATGCCAAAAGCAAATCTGTGTAATTATACCAATGCTTCACACCATGCACCCAGAAAGATACCAGCCATTATATTCCACATACACTGCAACAGCCAAGCTAAACATTGACTGTTTTATCTAATTGTATGGAAACATACTTTAAAATCATTTAAATATGTTGATAAGTACAGTGAAAAATCACATACTGATTAAGAACCCCTTTCCACTCCGGTCACTAGCCTATTCCTCCAAAGAACTTTTGGCAAATACTTTTTCTTCTTTACGTTACCTTACAAATCTATTGTAGATTATTCAGTTATAACTAAAAGCTTGCACAGAAAGGAAACCAAAAAGCAGCATGGACAATAATACTTTGCTGAATACCACTGAGAAATCAGATTTCTCCAAATGATTTTCTTTTGGGACAGAATGCCTGCCTTAGTTCTGTTCAAAAGCAGATTCAGAACCACTCTCCATCATTGGAACATGGGATTCCAACAGATAAAATTGATCTGTGTTCATAAAATGCTACAAAGAACACTATCTTTCATCTCTTGTTTCTGAATATAGAATGGTAAATTTTGCTCCAAAGGAAATCTTTTAAACAAAATCCTGCCTAAAATCAGAAATATCTGAATGAAAAGCATGATGTTTACTGCAAAACTCTAAAATGTATGGAATGTCTACCTATCAAGAGAAAAGTCAGATTTCTGAATTTTCAAGCATTTAAGTAAATACTCTTTGCTTATTTCAAATAAAATTGAAATAATTAAATTGAGCATGTAGTTTCAGTGTTGCAAAAGAAAATAAAAATGTGCCTGAGATTTTTTTGTGTGTGCAAAAATGCCCTCATTTACAAAGATGCATGGGACACTTTGGAAAGATTTCTTAGCTTGAAATTTTCACCTAATATATACTTTTCTGCTTCGTAATTCTTATTCATTGCACCTTCCACTGTATGCTTCAGAAGCTCTGGAAAGAAATTAACTTCTGTTATTATCTCACTAGCACAATGGCACTCTCAAAAAACAAATGCTGACCATCTGTTTTGGCATTCATAAATGTACGTACTATTTTCTTACATAGAATTAAAGGTTCTCTCACCTGCTTCTCAATGTGGGGAGTTCAAAAGAGTATGGTTTCTGAACTAGAAAATACAAGAATCAAAAATGTCCCAAGTTTTTGCATTTGTTTGCTACAGAGAAGAACTTGGACCAATTAAGCTGGTCATTATTCTAACATTGCATTTAAATGATATGATCTGACTGCTAACAAATAGCAAAATCCTATGGTCGTATGGCAGAAAAAATAGAACAGCACCTGCAAGATGGTTTTACAAATACAGTTTAAAAGGTTTAAATGCTGAGAATGTCTACAATGGTCTTTTATTTAAGCTAAAACATGCTGAAGGGATCACAAAACTAAGCTTTGGCTTCTTTCTTTTCTTGTCTTCCACAAAAGCCTTCTTCCTCAAACCTAAGCATTGTTCTTTTCTCCTTGATCCCAACACTTCTCTCTCCCCCATCTTTTAGCATGCACATGCCTTCTTCAACTCTTCTGTAACACACCTAACCATACCCGTACTGGATGTTTATTCCTCAAGTATTATTTACCATGCTACAAGTCCATACCAGTCAGTCCTCCTTTAGGATATCCATTTTTGACGACTGTGTGCAGACTGGAGCTCCCAGTGCTCCAATCATGGCTGGAAGACTCTGGTTTCTTCTCAGTCCTGCCATTAAGTTGCTACCTGCATTTAAAAACACAGCTGAGTCCTGCCTCCGTAAGCTAACCTCTGGCCCCTGATTCTTCCTGTGGTCCTTTGTCTCAGGGGGCTTAACCACCCTGGCAATACCCAGCCTCTTCAGCCTGTCCACTAGGTTCATCTTCAACTGGCCTATGTCTGGAGCGTTGCGGGAGGGCTTTAGGCCATACATTTCCTGCAAGAATGTTTCTGCTGGTCGGGAAGCCAGGAAATTTTCTGAGTGATGCACTCGAGGCTCAAATGGTGAAGGGGAAGGACAAGGTGAATGTGAGGGAGAATTGGGTGGAGTAGACGGAAAAGGGACTGTTTGAGGAGGCTGTAGCAAAGGCAGTTTTTCTAATATGGGGCTATCATAAACCTTGGCAGAGATGCCTCGTTCTTGCAAAAGCTGTGCCAGACTGCTGGTGCTGCTGAGGGTAGTTGTTGAATCTCCTCTGTTGGTGAGAAATTCTCCAATATTAAGCCTGTAAGACATGGCTGGAGTGCTCACTACTGGATTTCCAGTGCTGCTGCCACTATTTCCAAGTGAAAACGGGGTACACATGGGGCTGAAATAAAATAAAAATGGAACAGAGAAAATACACACATTAGACATTTCATACCTGCTTGACTCTGTATATACATTTTAGTATATAAAAGAAACAAGAAAAATAAAACTATTGTTACTTATTCTGGTAACTTCAGCTTTAGTAGTTTCAGTATTTGTGTTCTGCAAAATATCTAGACAATATTGATTGACAGAGGGGTTTTGGTGTAAGTACCAAAGAATTTATTTTTCCATATATAATTTTTAATGTCTGGCCATGGAGAGGAAAAACTCCTGCTACGACAGGAAGTAATGTTTTTAAACTAAAAAGGGGTAGATTTAGATTAGGTATTAGGAAGAAATTCTTTACTATGAGGGTGGTGAGGCACTGGCAGAGGTTGCCCAGAGAAGCTCTGGATGCCCTATCCCTGGAGGTGTTCAAGGCCAGGTTGGATAGGGCTTTGGGCAGCCTGGGCTGGTGGGAGGTATCCCTTCCCATGGCAGGGGCTGGAACTAGGTGATCTTTAAGGTCCCTTTCAACCATAGCCATTCTATGGTTCTATGAAAGAAAAATGAATTGTTATGACAAGATTATGCCAAGAAGTGTTCTATAATCAAGTTCATTGTTGTGTTTTACCTTCTGTTTAGAACCAAACTTAATTTTTGAAGTTAACTTAGATATGATAGCATAAAACTTTTCAAGATCAGCTGTCAGTTCAGAGCTTTTAGGAGAACGTTTCATAAAACAATTACAAAGGAATGTAAGATGACAAAACATGAAGAAACTTTGCTGAAGAAACACATTAGTTGAATTGCTAAATTTCCAGAAAATGAAACCTGAACACCCAAAGCTACCTATGATAAAATGCTAACAAGTAGCGCATTATGGATGAAAGACCCTGTTGAATGATGCTATAGCTGTAGTATATCACACAAACACTAATCTTTATTTTCTATGTACAAACACTGCAATCTCTTCTGCTCTACATTAACTCAAATGATGCTTCCTGAAACACTGAGTATAATTATGTTTTCTGATGGATACTGGATGTTGGACAAACTTAGAGGACCCTTAATAGACGAGATTAATAACTAGAAAAAATGCAAACAAGTTAAATCAGGATTTGCAATTTGAATTGGACACTTGATCCACGTAAACTGGTGTTCTGCTTTAAAGAGCACAACCAGACAAGCCACAATGTATTCAGCTAATTGTCATGAAAACCTTAATACTACAGTCACTTTTTTTAAAATATTACACAACCTTAAATACATGTATAAAACAGTGCTCAACTATAGTGTATTACATAGAACATCGACATCCAGCAACAACTTAGTTTTTAAAAAGGACAGAATAAAACACATTATGACTTTTTTTTGTTATTGTTTTTGTTTTAATACAATAGGTATATGATACAAGGAATTTGCTATTTTAAGAGTATAAATTTGCTTCCTTTAAGTTACCTTAACCTATTCGAACTCTCATTGTGGAGAATTTCTAGTTTCCCCTTTGTAATTACAACCATTTTTATGTGTAAATATGTGTATTTCACGTGCTGCCTAACTGTCTTGGTATTTTTTAAAACTCGTTCATATATCAGAATACAGAATACAACTTCTTAATCCCACACAGCAATTCTTAGGATGTTATCATACCTGGGAGTAACTTGGGTGATATCAGATGGGTGAAGGATTCTACATGTAGTAAAGGTAAATGTGGAATTTGTTGAAGATAGACACTTTCCAGGATTTGAGGCTGCAATGTGGAGAATTTACATCCCATGAAGGTAAAAATACAGACTGATTAGTACTAATGAAAGCAAAGTTTAAGATGATGCTATTAGCATTGCTAATCTTTTTGTTGTTTGTTTTGTTTTGAAGTAGAGAACAAACAATAACAAAGACATCATTGCCCCAAGGCCAAATATTTTCCAGTGAGAAGAAGATACTACAATCAGTTTATTTTAAAATCAATTTAGTTACTTGCTTTATGCTTTTTTTCCCAATTTAAGATGAGCTGAAACTACACTCTTCAAACATCAGTAACATTAATAACAACAGAAGCAAACTAGCACTATAAGAAACACTAACATCCAACCTGAATCTAAAAGCAAGGATCATTCTGCACAGACACAGGCTTCTAACCTTGCAAAATGCTCTGAAGAGAACTGGAAGCAACTGTACCACCTGTATTAAACTGTATTTGAGCTAGCACTTTGAATTACTGTAGTATGGAGCTGCATAAAATTAAGTTCTTGGAGGCAAATTGCTAAACCAAAATAAATGTTAATGAAAAATAAGAGTCCTGAAAAGAAATTTCAGTCTGAAATCCCACACTGTAATCAGACAACTGAGCACATAAACAGTGATGAAGTCCTTGCAAAAAAAAGCAAAAAAAAAAAAAAAAGCAGAAATTGGCATGCAAACAGAGGAAAAACTACTAACTATGCTTCTTACCAGTGAGTGGTACTGCTACTGAAGTAATAGGTGACAGGAAAATCCCTGACCCTTGCTTTGACACTGCACACTTCTTTTTCTCCAGAAAGGATGGTTGCACTTGAAATGTTATACCTCCTTCACCTTCTTCCTCATCATCCTCCTCCAAGTCAGAGATGTGGTGCACACTATCATCAGTCAGAGGGGTAAAACCTTTTGTAACAACACCTGGTCTTGGGTCCAGAATGGTGCCTAGGTTGGGTCGAGCAAGCTGCTGCCAGTGAAACAGGGTCTGAGATCCTGGTGTGACAAAAGAAGGGTTCCCGAGAGCTGTTACTTACAATTACATTGAGTTACAAGAATGCTTGTTATAACAATTTCAGCCAACTGGTGCTGACGTTGATAAACATAGTGTGGTTGGATGGCAATGCCAAGCACAAGAAAAAGCCTAACACTTAGCACCTTTATAAGAAAGACAAGTACAAAGCGACACTCTCGTGAGCTAGCTGGTACATAGCCAGCAAATGCTACTCCTTCCTCTTATTACATATTGCATCTACCTGTACACACACCAACAATAATTTAGTTGGCAAATTAAAGTGAAATCTTTTTCTGCTGTTAGGAGAAGGAAGATCATCCTCTTACCTTCAATGGGCTTGACAATTTGCAACTTTTCTGGTAGGAGGACACGGAGGTTACTAGAGCTGGCAGAGAAATCAGTGAATTCTGAGTTTGTACCCAAGGAAAAACAGCTTTCTGTTGGTGTATTACTACCACTTGCTCCTTCTTTCTGCTCAGCAAGCAAATGCATTTTTCGCTCCCATTCCTCCTCAAAGAACTGCTTCTCGCTCAGGTAGTTCTGATGACGGAGGGAGAGCCTGTGCAGAGCTGTGACTAAGTCATTGTCCCCAGGAGTTCCTGGCTGGCCACACTTATGCGTGCCCCTGTGAGAAACATGAAATAATAATAGATATTAAGACTAGCAAATTAAATATTTCTCTCTTTTACATGGCAGGGGTCCAGTGTGGATTTAGTTTTAAGTCACTTAGTTTAGAAAGACAGACTGTGTTTCTTACTTCAAATTCTTCTCAGAGCTGCTCCTCTGGGTCATCTGTGTGTGTCCCTCCGAATGTAAGCCAGACTGAAAAGGCTTTGCTGTCATAACAACACTTAACCTATTAGAACCAGGAATTGGTAATGGGACAGGAAAGGAAGACGAGCGTCCACGAGTGACATTAGCAACCTTGACAGTGTCGAATACTCGTTTATGTTGACCCCTGCAAGAAAATTAAGGAAACAAACATGAGTTTCAGAAACATTTTTCAAGGGATAACAAAGTTTTGAGCAACAGATTTGCAAAAGATAGCAGAGACTGGACTAAAAAGATTTAAGCCCAGAAGAACAGGATTGCCTAACACACCCATGTTTTAGGGAGTACTGCTCTAATAAATATCTGAATTACCACTTTGACCTGAAAGAACAAAACAGTCTATTGATAACCACCTGATAAATTTCAGGAGCTTACATTTAACTCTTGCTCAAAAGTAAAGTCTTCAGGAATAAGTCTTCAGCTTTATAAACTGTTATCAGTCTTTCAGCTATAATTTCATTTGCCAGAGATTTTTATATAAGCAGTAAAAGTGATAAAACTAGTGCTGTGTATCAAAGCATCTGCATCAAAAATCTGAGAAACTGAAGAATGAAATAACATTTTAGCAAATTCCCAGCTTCCTCATAGAATCAAATAATAGCAGGCTTTGAAGTTGAAAAGTTACAAATACTACAAAAAAAATAGAAAATTTTTCATAGAGTGAACATTCACATTTATAGATTTCCAGTAATCAGTTTCACCTTACTTAATACAAGCACATGAAAAAGTATTGAAATGACACACAGAATCTAAAAACATACTTCTGCTTGGATAGAAGAGATTCATCACCCTGACTCAATTCCTTACGCATTGTCCCTTCAATTTCTGCTGCAAGGGAATCCTAGAGAAAAATGGGAACCAGAAGAGTTTACACATTAATAGAAATCTTCTTCCTAACAATTTTAACAGAAAATTTTAAAATACTCTAAAATTTCTTTTTTTTTTTTCTCCTCATTATTATGTTTCACACTGTGTGTAATACACAAACCTTTCAGTCTTTGAAGGGGATAGCAAGCAGGAGAATTTTTACACCATAATTACACCTAAATATAACTGGTTTGGGTTCAGTTGTTCAGTTTTCATTTTAAAAATCTGTTCTTTTTTGGTACTTTTTATGTTAATTTCTTAAATTAAGCTACAACTGTAAGAACACTTCTTAAAAGGTCAAAAACATACATGAAGGATTCTGTATACGCAGAATGATCAACCAAAGCCTGACAAGTCCCAGCAGAACCCAGAAATTTGTGAGTACACTACTCAGAATATACCTGACAGAAGAAGAGGAAAATAAATGCTTTTTTTTCCCCATTGGTTTAGTTATCTTTAGCCTAAGGTTATATATTTCTGATTATGCTTAAAATTTAATCTCACAAGATAAGGAGATGAAGAGACAAAATTACATCATAAATTACATAAAGAAAGAAAAATGCAGTTTGAACTCTCAAAAAAAAATGGTTTGTTTCTTAAAGAAATGTTGTCAAGTTATAAAATTTAATACACATATGCAGGCACAATGGAGCACTAGCTATTGAACATACCAATCAATTCCTGTACTTAACAGAAAAGTCATATAAAAAGGAAAAAACATTTTAATATCACAAAATGGTAAGTGAATTATTAGTTTACTAAACATTTAATTGTCAGAAATGTACACATTAAAGAAATGAAAAACTGTTAGCTCAGTTCCTTTGCCTATTACAAAATAGTTTCCACTGCAGCTCCTGTAACAGCTGTTTTACAGTTCTATGCTATTACAGGCCCTATATGTGCCAGTAGGTATACAGCATGCTAGCAGTATTTATTACCACAGGAAATGCTCCACATGACTGGGGATGGCAGAGACAAGCAACAGAGCGGACTCTGCTGCGCAGCAACTTCACTTCTTCTTGTGATTCATGCAACATCCCTAGACACTCTGTGTTCCGATCTTGCAACTCATGTAGCTGAAAGAAAAAAAAGAGTATGTGATACCACTGAACTTCAACAGAAGCAAATAAAATACACAGTGAAGCTGAGTAACTCCTACAGAAAACAATATAGATGGGACTATAATATTTCTCCCACTGCACATCACACACCAACATCTGGAATTGGAAGCAGTAACAGACAATGCTCAGCATATCACCCATACCAATTTTAATTGTGACACATATATACTCAAGAGTATAAAATTCAAAGTAAAACACATTGAAAAACTCTGCAAATATTGATGCAAAAGTAGCAAAAGAGAATAATCCTTAAAGATCTAGTGAGCTACAGTATTGATATAAGCAGTAATATTTATATGAAAGCACTCCGTTTCTCATAACTACTACTAACAACAAAATTTACCTAGTTTGAACACCTTGTTTGCCTTTCAGACTCCTGTGAACTACAAAAATATTTGTGTAGACTTAACTAAACATAGTTATTCTTTTTCCCCTATCATTTGACTCCAACCACAATGTAAAATTAGAAGTTTTAAATAAATAAAAGTTCTTGCTGCTTTTATGTTGGTTTCAGCTGGGATAAAGTTAATTTTCTTCCTAGTAGCTGGCATGATGCTGTGTTTTCTATTTAGGATGAGAATAACATGATAACACCCTGATGTTACAGTTGTTGCAGAGCAGTGCTTACACTAAGTCAAAGACTTTTCAGCTTCTTGTGCTACCCAGCCGACAAGGAGGCTGGCTGTGCATGAGGAGCTGGGAGCGGACAGAACAGACAGTTGACCCAGAATAGTCAATGGGGTATTCTGTAACAAATGGCATTGTGCTGAACAATAAATATGAGGGAGTGTTGGCTGGCAGAGGGGTGTGCTGCTGCTTGGGGTCTGGCTGGACATTGGTCAGCTGGTGGTGAGCAATTGCACTGTCCATCACTTGCTTTGTATATTCTTTTATCATTATTATTATTATTACTATTTTCCCCTCCTTTTCTATCTTACTCAAGTTTTACCTCAATCTACAAGGTTTTTTCCCCCTTCTATTTTTTTGTTTTTTTTTTCCAATTCTCTTCCCCATCCCACTGGGGGAGCGTGGTGATGGAAGTGTTTGAACAAAATGCAGTGCTTAGCTGCCTGACAGGTTAAACCACAATAGTCATTTAGTTTTTTTTCTCTTGTACTCTCTTTACACGCCCAACCATCCATCCATCCATCCATTTACCCACCCACCCACAAAAGCCTTAAGTACCTCTACTGTCAATTGTCTCTGAGCATCTTTGGAAGCTTGTAAGTGAAGTTTCAGCTCTTCCTTTTCAATCACATGCTGAAAGCACAAAAAAGCGCTAGTTATTTTTTTAGCCAGTTCCCCTAAGGAAGGTGGTCCTTGCCATTCTTTCATGAAACAGCCACTTTCTTGTGATATAACCCTTGATCTGCAAGTAATTTTTTACCCACTATAAGCATGCACATATGTACATAAATGGCGCGCACACACACATACACACACACTCCATCAGCAGTCCCTTACTTCTTTGAGTTTATGCTGAAGATCAACAATCTGAGACAGAAGGGATGAGATCTCTTCCTGGTAGCGAACCAGCTCCTCACTCTTCTCTGACAACTCCTCTGTTATTCTGGAAATTTGAGCATTTGTTTGCCCTACAAAACATAAAAGCGACTTAAAGGAATGGAAAAAGAAACAGAAAGGGAAATGGAAAGGGAAACAACTCACTCCCCCCAACTAACTGTAACAAAAAATATCCTGCCCAAAACAATACAGTTGGAGTTTCTTGTATACTTGACCTGAAAGGATAGCAAAATCATAGTAAAATCTGATTGGTTTTGCATAGAGGTGGGACTACATATTTAGAAACATAACCTTTAAGCAACAAAGTATCTACCTTATTTATTTCTAAACAACAGAAAATCTTCCATCAGTGCTAACCAATTGAGTTAGAAAAATGATTCTCTAATAGTGCTAAATATTTATTTTTTAAAATACTGTAAATTAGCAAAAATATACCCTTTCATTGATAGCAGTTATTGTACCATATAGATTTACTATAGGACTGAAATTACTAAAGCTCATTTTTCAGGGGTAACTAAGAGAAGGATGTTCAAATACTGTTTTGATGTTGTGAGAAACAGCTTGGATACTCACGGAGCTCTTTAACACAGTCACTGACTAGCTGCTGTTCCTTCTCTTCGTACGTAATGGTTTCTGTCTTCAGCTGGCAAGCCTTCAAAAAAAAAGTTAGTGGTTTTCCAATTTCAGTTTATCCATATATATATTAATGTTACAAGTTTTTATTTTGGATATTGTTACAACTGAAGAATTTCCCCTCTCTTTCTAATTTCTATGCATCTCTCTGTCCTTACTAACCATTTTTTTCCACCATAGTCTGTTTCCCTGAATTGTATATGACTTTTGAATAACAGACATCCAACCACAGACATATGAGCAAAACCTTATCTCTCTCATGCCCCTACTAAAAAAAATATTGCAAAAATAAGTAATTTGGTATGGAAATGTAAACCAACACAGTAATCAGAAGTAAGCAACTGAATTTGCTTTTGAGCTTCTTAAGGCAAAGAAGCTTTGAAAACTAAATTTTTAGCCAACTCCATGACAGTACTGAAAAGCTCTCAATAGAACAGCTTTTCCCCTTACTCCTCAACTGTTTTACTTAGACTGGAAATTTTCTGGGCCAGAGACTGTATCACAACAGGTCTAAACACCATCAATCATAGTAAATTCCCATCTCCATTTGGACTGTCAGGATAATTCCTGATATTAAACTTTGCACACATACACGTGCAAGTTCACAGGACTGCATTTGACTCACCCTAGTACTTAGTAATGGTGTTTGAAGATTGTCCAAACAAGCAGAAGTAAAGCTACACAAGTGTAGATAAACACACTTCTTTATAAAACACTGTTACACAAAAATAAAAATGTGCAAATACAGGCTCAACATGATTGAGGCTACTTCAAGTCAGTGAAGGTTATGTTATATCACACAATGATAGCAGTCTCTTTTTAATTTCATTCTTTCCCCCACTCTGTAAAATAGATTGAATTCACCCCGGTCCATAAAATTCTGTAATCATATATGGGGTTAGGAGCATAATAAAATAAATCTGACCTTTCCCTCTTTCTTTTCTGTTCAGCACTACTGAACTATCCATTTGTTCCTAAGAGTTTTAGGGAGTATGTGCATCTCATTCTGAATATTTTGAAGACAAATCAAGGAGAAGAGTATATCTTTTCATATTAGAGAATTCTACTTCTCACTGTATTGTTGTAACAAGCTCAAAAAACATCAATCACCCAGCTTCCTTACAAAGGACACCCAAACTTTCTTAAAAGGAAAAAACAAACAAACACACTTAACTGATTTCCCCTTTTACAAATTCCACTTTGCACCTCCAAAGACGACACACTGTGCATCTGCAGATTCTAAATCTTGTAACCATTGGTTTCATGAGTTCTATAGCCATTTGTTTTGTCTAGCCATTTAGTCCCTATGCTTGTAAAAGAACACTTACCTATATTAATGTTTTATACATGAAAGAGACCAATTAAAATATGGAAACTAATACCATAGTCAGAACTTACTGAGTCTTTAAGAGGATTTGAATGGAAGCTTATTAATACTTAAGACTGAATATACGTTGACAAAGGTGTACCATCAACTCAAAGTTCAAATTCACAAAAGACTGCTACTAATTGCAGTCAGGTTTACACCAGAACTGGTCACACAAACGTGAGGACCTGATGAGTCCAACTACTTTTGCTGGGTGCTCACATAGGTTCCCCTATTTCATCATATACCATAAAGGTATTGAGAAAGGAGTACTAGAGGACTCCGAAAACAATGAATAGCAGTAAAGGAAACAGAAAGATGTGGAGGAAAAGTGTTTGGATATGATTTGCATACAGTGAAACAAAATAGTTATATATTCTGAGAGAAGCCTAGATGCTGGATTCTTTTTAACAATCCCAATTTATCTCATATCCAGCATATAAGGTACACACTGTAAGTCGGCTATACCTTCGAACGGAGAGCAAGGTTCTCCTCTTCCAACTCCCTGAGTTTATCTTGCAAGATATCCAGCTGCAAAAGACCTTGTGATACACTGAAAGACTCATTGAAACGAAGTGGTGTAGAACAGCTGGAATCTGTTTCACTTTCCTCAGAAGCAATTGAAACAATACGAAGTAGGTCATCCTTCTTCGATAGTTCATGCTGCAGCTGGTTAACCTAGGACAAAAGAAGATCACCAGCTTGTCAATTCTTGGACCAAGAAAGCTGACTGAACTATGGTAATTAGGAGAATGATTTCTAAGTGTACTTATGTAGTTTGAAAGCAGCAATCAACTGTTTTCACAATGAAATAATATGTTTTTATTAATCCTCTTCTCATCATCATAAAAAGATGGGAAAAATTAAAAAAAAATAAAAAAAAATTACTCACTTGATCTAGAGTTTGTCCTAACTGCTCTTCTAGTGCTTCATTCTGTTCTGTCAACAGGTGGTTTCGCTTAAGCAGGGCTTGTCCAATTCGAGCTGCCAGTTCCAGGTCCCGGTCTTTCTGCTCATAAGAAGTATACATGTGTCTACTTTTAATCAGATAAAGTTTAAATACAGAGTAATTTTAGTTTTTCATAGCTACTGATTAACGCAGCACTCTGAGATCGCTACTCACTCTCAAACGGATTGCTTCTGCAACACTGATAAAACAATGATTAATGTTTCATCCTTTAGATCCAAAACACATCCATTACTATGCTTCTCTTCCAGTCATTCTCAGTAACAGGGGGAGGGCACCTAACCTGGGTACAGTACTGGTGAAGTTATATGGGCTCTATTGTGTCATTCCAAGAAGTCACATACACTTATGCCTATTGTCTTTCAAGTAACAGCTTCTCCAGAAACAGACTGCTTAATTGGAATAGTGCTGAGAAGATAAAAGTCAAGTGGCACTTAGAAAGCAGAAGAAGTCTCCTTCTTTCTCATTGCATGCTAGCTCCTATGAGGTATCCATAGCATTGCTAAATTTTGTTTCTGAGGTGGTGCAAATGACTGGACAGCTTCTCATGACCCTTACGTTTGACAAGCAGCTCCTGAAGATAACTGAAGCAAAAATTCCAGGAGATGAATAATTTCCTCAAATACGTGTCCTCAAATGTATTAACACAATTATATTACAGAGATGAGCATACCTCAGCTAGCAGATGTTTGACCACGTCAGTGTCACTGTAGGTTTTCTGTTCCATGTTATCTGTGCCTAAAACTGAGAAATAAAAAGCGTACTTACTGAAGTTGCTTAAGTACAAGAAGACTGCTTGGAAGGGAGAGAATTAAAACACAGAGGACATTGTTTATATAAGCTTAAATACAACAACTAGCTGTGGAAACTAGCAGAGGCTATCAAAATGCATCTTAATTTCAGAAGTATGAAACAATGCTCATTTAAGAGATTGATCCAAAGTACTGAGTATTTACAGCTTTCAGCAATATTAGCTAGAAGTTGAGGTGCTTGCACATCCTTCACGTTTAGAAAAAGGAGAAGAATCTCTTTAGATCAACTTTTTGAATACAGATAAGCTATTATCATCCAGCCTTTTGGGGAGAGAGAGAAGTAATGTATATCCATATATAGCTGAAAACACCTGCAGACTTTGTTGAGAACAAGTAGTATTTCGAGAACAAGACCAAGTCAAGAAGAAACAAAGAGCAAAAAGAATTTGTGACAACTCTGAACAGAACTTGGACCTAAAGTATAAAACGCTGTCTTGAGAAGCAGGATATGCTAGTAAATAAGAAATCTGAATTACCTTGTGCAAATTTGTGAGATCCAGCAAAGGAGGAGGGAGGAAGTTGAAAAAGAGCTACAGTTACAGGAAAGGAAAGACAGGGAAGAAAGAATAAAAAGGAGAAAGAATTAAAATTCAAGGAAATAGTCTACTGGGTTTGGCTGGGATGGAATTAACTGTCCCCACAGCAGCCCATATAGTGTGGTGCTCTGCACTTGTAGCTAGAATAGCATTGACAGCAAGACTGTCTTCACACACCCCCCAGTGACCTAAACAAACTAAAGAGTTTTTCCATACCATATGACAGCATGCTCAGCAATAAAAGCTGAGCAGAGGGGAGGAGTGGTGGAGGGGACAACTCTTGTTATGAAAGCATCTGTCTTCCTGAGCAACTACTACGTGTATTGAGGCCTTGCTTCCCAAGACATGGCAAAACATTGCTTGCTGACAGCAAGTAGAAAATAATTGTTTTCTCCCTTTCCTTCTGTGTGGCCTTAAATTTGCTATTTTTGCTTTACAGACTCAGGACCATGAAAGCAGCAAGATAAGTTGAATAAATATGGAAGTATCTACTTCAATTGGAGACATAAGTTAACTTGCTTTGAAACTAATTCTATCATCTCTGCATTGTAAAATTATTATGAGATTATTATGGGATTTGGTCTAAATCTATTTCTGAGATTTTTCTGCCTTGTTGAAACCTGATTCATGCTCTGAGTATATAGTAGTATTGGTTCTGTTAGTTGCTGTTTTTTTGTCTTTGTTTTTACTGAGGGCTGCTGATGTGGTTATGAGATAGAGAAGTGCTAAGCTGAAGTGCTCACTAACTTTATATATGCACATTATGTAAGCTATGTACATGTATATCCTTTATGTAGGTACTGCACACAGATAACCTTGCATAGCATAACACTAAGGCTACATGCTAGGAACAAAAATAAGTTGCATTTTTGTATAGAAGAAAACTTACACAGCCTTGAAAGACAGGAGAAAAGAAAGAACAATACAGAAGAATGAGGTTTACTGAACTGTTTTTCTAATAGCTTAACAGGGAAGAAAAATGAAACTAACAAATCAAACACTTTTTACCAAGTAGATTAGTAGGCATAAAAATAAAACACATGCTATTAAGGAGTGTTGAACTTAAAGCACTGCCATTTGCTAACTCTATTGCCAAGTGGTGCAAAAACAGAAAAACACCCTTACAAAATTTAAAGTACTTGTCTTTGCATTGTGGAGGTCAGTTTTACTGTGCCACTTTGACATTGTTTGCTGCGAGGGCACTCATCTTACTAATACTTTGAAAATTCACTGCCCAATAACTTTCAGCCTTTAGCAGGCAGAATATTATAGCCAGCTCTCCTGTGGTAAGTATTCCCACCAGATGATTTCAAGTGGAAGTTTCTATCCAGTGCTAAATTGGTTTAATAAAGATCTGTTAGTTACATACACGGTTACTCTGAAAGGGAGGTTCCTAAAAACACAAACAAGTATATCTGCTCTGGTAAATGAAATCTCAGAACTATCAATTTTGAAACTTAGCTCTATACAACTTTTGTAACTTTCTTACACTACAGAAAAAAAAAAAATACATAGTTGTTATAACTCTCTACTGTGAACATACATGTGCAATTTCTGCTTACTCACCTCGCCATGGGAAGGCTGCAAACAACTCTTCATTTTGGTTAATATTCTTGTTATGTCGTGCCATGTTCCTTTATTCACATATACAAAGTAGTTCTAAGGACAGATGTTTTGTAATTTGAGGTTTCTTATTCTACCAAAGTTGAAGGAGAAAATATTCTTCTACCTTACAGAAGTGAGTGCCAGTAGGAGCTCACACTAAGTGGATTGCTAATTAGATGCACCTTCTAATAGGCGGCAGCAGCTATAAAAAGAGGAGGAGCAAGTGCAGCAAGTATTGTATTGCTATTTTCCCCCTAGATGTCAAATACAACTTGACTCAAATCAATTCTTTACAGCAAAAGTTGCAAAAAAATTTCCATTTGTATATAGAGGGAGAGATACATAAAATCCCCAAGTTATGCTTCACAACTATGATTATCACATTTATTCCCAATTCCAGTCACTACTAAGACAGACACAAACTTCAGCTAACAAGATATTTAGCAGTGACTATAACTACATACTAAGTTGTGTTTCTATCTGTCTGGGACCTTCCTGTAAATTCTCCTGTAAACTACTAGGCTCAGATGATAACAGTTACATTCCTTCTCTTTGTCTAGACAATTTCTAGGGGAAACAAAAAAAACATATTTCTCTTGAATTTATATGGATCAACAGTTACAACAGCTTTGACAGAGTTATACCTAACAGTGATCTTTTTAATTAACGTGATGAATTTCACATCCAAGTTGGGTAGCCAAATTTTAATCTCACATATGTTATGTGAGATTATGCATCTATGCATATGCATCTATGCTATCCCAAAATTCTAAGACAGACTTATTCTAAAGATTCACTTTTGGACAGAAATTTAAAATGATAGTTGCAGTGCATTTTTGAGAATATAAAAAAAAAAAAAGAAACTGTTCAAAAAAAACAAAAACAAAAACAAACAAACAAACAAACAAAAAACAACTCTCACAAGCAGATCACTTTTTTATTTTCACAGAAGAAAATCCTGTAATTGCAAAGAACTTCTTTCTGGGTGAAAGAGGAAAACACCTGTTTTTGTAGTATTTTGACAGCCAAATAATCATGACTTAAAACCCCTGCCACCTCTCACTGCTTGGAAATGCAAGCTCACACTGACTTAAGTGTCTTCTCTTGGAGCAATGTGCTTCATTACACTGGAACTGCGGGCACTGACCAGAGGCACATTTGATATAAAGTTGCTATCAGCACTGACAGACTTTGATCCCAACTCTTTCTAATTAAAGCTTAGAGATAAGTACACACCCCACTGACTACACACAATCATTTCAATTGAACTATAAAAGTGGTCGCTCAATATAAAATTATTTGTTTACAATATTATTATCAGAAACAGACCAAGCAATAATCATTAAGTGGCTTTCAAAATGCATTCCACAGTTAAAAAAAAAAATTAAGCATGCAAGTTTAATCAATAACAAGCTTGCTTTAAATCAGGGATTGCTGCATGTGTAAAAGGTAATATGTTACTTTTACTTAATCATTTGCTATACACCCTGGGTGGAGGCTGAAAATACAAACAACAAAAAATCCCTGTGCAGAGGTGACACATACGTCAAAGAGGCATTCATTACAGAGAAATAGTAAGTTGAACCTAAATACCAAGTTAACTCTCCCAAGTGGTTCCTTCCAATATAGGGAGTAAACAGGACATAGCCATTTCTCTAAACTGTTTACAACATTCCCCTCTTTTCACATTAAAACACTTGAAATTACAGGCAAATTACTGTTTAGTTCTTTCTGGCAACCTTTATATATGTTTAAAATCAAATGGTATAGAAGGTTTCTTCACATGATATGATGCTGTTCAATTTCACCTTAATGATCTGCTATCTTTAAGGACTACTGTAATCACAACTGACTGGCAGCAAAAAGTTACTTAGTATTTTCAGAACCTGAAGGCAGTGATCAACATCCACATAGTACCCACCTGCCCAACATTCACAGATTTGTATCTCCAGAAGAAACAATTAATAGCATTTCAAAAGCAACACTGACACACAACATCAGAACAAATACCATCAACAGAACCATAGCATTGTTAACGTTCCTGAAAACAGAACTGCTGCATACTCCATACCTCTCATATCACATCTAGTCTAACACAATTCTAGGTTCCTTCCTCTTTTTCACTATCAGATGTTTCTACTCTTATTTCTAAGTGAAATCTAATGATTAGGCAGGCAGCCGTGGGACATGGTAGCTCAGCTCTTAGAATGACAGAGCTGAACAACAAGCACTTCCTCTGTACTCAGCTTTTCATTCCACCTCTGCAAAAATGTACAGATTTGAACATTACACTTAAACATTAACCAGTTTATATTTACATTTTGCTCTTCAATAAATGTCAATGTCAAAAAATAATAATAATTCTTAGGCCCAGGTATACTCACTCATGTAACGGAAGGTCTCCTCATCGTGAACTGGAGAAGAGATTTTGGGAAGACAGCCATGGCAGTTGGACTGAATCCAGTCTTGATTTTCATACAGATACAGAGAGTCCACTCGTAACTTGTAATCTGGCAACTGTTCTTCTAGCATGCTCACCAATTCTACCTCAGGGAGGTCCTCAGTGGAGCAGACATCTAAAAGTAAGTAAATGCCACTAACACTACATTACAGGACATTGAATATGCCATATATTTATTATATGCTACAGTAGTATAGATTCTACATACTACAGAATACTTTCATAAACCTTCAGTAGGTTTGAAAAAATTCTTCTGTACTGGACAAATTACCAGAAAACTGATTGATATTGTGGCATTTGCAAATTCCTCATCCCCAAGTGATTCCATAACTTTCTGCAAAGTTGTTCTATCCATGGCTCCATCTGACTTCTTAAATACAGTGCATTTAATGAGCTTCAACTTGTATCTTTCCCTGCTTATTGAACTAAAACACAAACCTACATTTTAGCACCAGATGATTTTGTAAGATTTCATTGGCTTTAGCATAGTTACAGTTCTGTTTCCTGAAGGAAATTCACATACTTCTTTTTCTTCTGTTTATCATTTTGTTTGGTAATTGACATAGGCTTGAATAAAGTAAATAGAAATATCAATGGAATACTGCCTTAAAATCAGACAACTTAAATACAAAACTCTATTATCATCCATATGGAATCATGCTTTATGTGAACACGGTACCCAAACTTCTAAACAGTAAAATTTAGCTCTTCCTGTTTTTCCGCCTTATTCTCTTTGAGATTGTTGCAAAAAAGGAACATTAAGTTGCTGAAGTACTGCACATCAAAGGTATACAATGATTATCTTTTGAACATGTCCACCAAAGATGAAGACTGTCTTCAGTATCCTTCAGTGGAAGATATGTCAACATTGATAATTAACACTGAATCAAAAACATCTTACAACGGAAACTGATTTAACAAGCTAATTAAAGGACTCACCATTTTTGTTGATTTGCAATATCAGATAAGTAATACAAGGAAAATCAAATTCAAGGCAGTTTTCAGGTTGGTGTTATTTAAAATATTAGATACATTCAGGACTTGTAACAGATTTCTCCAACTTACCAGAGATGCTCTCCAAGACCCTGTGATCAAAATTCATGAGTCTTTTCTTCACAGTTCACTTCTTTAGAAATAACATTCTGTAGTCAGATTGTGCACTGTCCCCTTATTGCTTTGCTGGGAAGATGGCTTTGATTTCCAGTATAAGGGCCAGCCATCAAGCTACCAAGATGCTAACACGTCTGGCATCAACTCACTTCTGTACATGGATTCGTACTCCAGATCTATTGCTGTCTTAGGACATGCTCATTCCTTTCATCTGACTTACTACTCAGCAGAAATATCTATAGGATATCTCATATAAACTTCACAAACTTCTCAGCTCAGCCATCACCTAGAAATAAAACAAGAAGAACACCAGAGCTTAACACATTTCACGCTTTCAAATGAGATCAGTTGATTAACATGACCTCTTTTCTTTCAGACTGAGTTTCCTCCCTGTACTACCACTTAACCTCCCAAAATAAAAATAAATTAAAAGATTAAAAAAAAAAATCCTTAGTCTAAACATTACATTATATATTAAAAGTGTCATTAAAAATATGCCTTTTCCCTGCAAACATGACATCTCACCTTCACCACTGACTTTGTCAATTACTGTTTGTTTATACCATTCCTCCTCTTCCATATAATATTTAGTATAGGACAAGCTCATTCACTGTAATGAGGCACTTTCCTTCAACACTGAAGGACAGCAGCTTCAACTAAAGACAAATTTTCTTCAGGCTACTAAGTGCATTTAAAGCAATGGGTTTTAAAGGCAGGATTTCAAACACATCATTCTGAACATTAAATTGGCATAAAGAGATTTTATTGGACTGCTGTCTTCAATCTCTTCCACTTTAGAAGTCCACTAATTAAGATTTGGATCTATCAGAAATTTACAATTTTATTACAGACTGATGATCTTCCATGTAAAATCTAAGAGTAATCCTAGACAAAAAAACAAAAAAAAACAAAAAAAAACGCAAGAGAACAAGATGTCATTTTTCCTCTTTCTACATTCACTAAACATGTGATTCTCTTTAAAGCTTACATTAATTTCAAATTTGCTCTCAAGAGTTTCCCCAAGCACAAACACAAATTTGCCTTCTTGTCTGCAGGAATCTTTCATTTGACACGCTCAGAATGGACAGTGCAGGAGCTTTTTAAAGAAAGCCAAGAGACTGCCAGTTTATCTGCTTGTACAGTTTAGCAGATCAAGAAAGAATTTTCTTCCATTAAAGTCAGCTTATACTTATGAACAATACCTTCTTCCTTTGTATTTTATTTACCTGTTTTAATTATTATCTATATTAGGTACTTACTAAGAACTGTAGGACTGAGATTTCAGAAATATTTGTTATTTGAAAGTTAATTTGTTATGGGACTTTGATTCTTAGTGATGTAAGACCATTTATTCAATTTTTATATTGAGACTCCTCTTGCATTATATTATGTATTTCTGTCAATGATCCCCAGGTCCTTTTCTGCAAAGCTGCTATCCAGACTGTTAGCCCCCCGCATGTACTGGTACACAAGTTTATTCATCGGCAGGTGCATGCAGGACTTTGCACGCAGGACTTTGGCATAAAATGCCAAAATCTGAAACCCAAGACATCCTGACTGAACCGAATAAGCACTTTTTTTTGTTTGTTTTGTTTTGTTTTTTAAACCGTGACGGTGACTGAGCACTGGAAAAGGTTGCCCAGATCAGTTGTGGAATCTCCACCTTTGGAGACATTCAAAAGCCACCTGGAGATGGTCCTGGGCAGGCAGCTCTAGGTAGCTCCACTTAAACAAGATTTATTTCTCAGTTAAACAAGTAGTTAAAAGGAAAAAGCCTCACAGCAGTTCTTACTGTGTTTGTGATGTAAACCACATTTGACATAAGGAAAAACCACCTCACAAGGCAAGGTGGTTTGGGTCTATTTTTTTCCATTAGACATGCCAAGATTACATTCCTTACTTTGCAAGTGTGGTATTGAGGGACTTCAGTACCACAGTATTAAATGTTGATCAGAAGGAAGAACAAAAATTTAAGAGACACAACTGTTTAACAAGCAGTTAGATAGGCCTTACTAAATAAACTGCATAAAAATGCAAAATTACTGTTTCTTTTGGTTATTCAAGCTTTAATCTCAAGACTGTTATGCTGTTGTATGAACTATGGTTATGACCTCTACCCTAAACCATATTCAAAAGCTGCCAATTAAACAAATCCAAACCACATTAAAGGAAGAAAGATAGCACAGTTACAAGACAATGCAGCATTATACGAGTTGTGACTAGTCAGAGCCTGAGGCTGGTAATAAACATTTGCAATGACAATCCTGCCCCACAGATGAGATATGTCAACATCCATAGATATGGTTTCCACCTACATTACATTTGTAGTGTTACTAATGTATAAAGTGCAATTACAAAAGGAATTAATTAAAAGCAGTACAAAGAGATGGAAGGCATCCCACAAAATAATAACCACAGGGCACACAAAATCAGTTCTATTTCTAGGCAGAAGTCTTCATGCAGCACAGAAGCTACAATTCTACAGTAAATACCTTAATCCTATACTCATTTTGTACAGAAATCTCATGGAAGCATCGTAACACCACAGTTGTCGGTGTCTGATACGCCCCAAGCATGGGGCTGTGCCACCTACCAGTAGTAACTACGCCATTTAAGCATCAAAGCAGCAAACTTTTGATAAAAATTATTAGAGTCCAGAGCATATTTTATTGTTCATTATTAGTGACTGTAATCTCCAAACTTAAGGAAGTCCTGTCTGGACTAAAAGATCTAATTACTTATTTAATAAATAATTGTAAGTATTCTATACAAGTCAACCCTGATTAATATTCCAGACACCTGGAAGTGAGGAAATTTGTAACTAATGCCCGATTTTTCTTGCTTTTTTCTACCTCACAAAATTTCTTCTCTCGTCCAATTTTAAAAACATTTAAAAGGCAGAATCCTTCTTTTAATCTGTCACTTCTACAGCTTTCTAGGAAGCCAAGGGAAAATCAGAGGAATGGGTCAACATGAGCACAATATTTCTTATCTATTGACACTCAAGCTTTTATTGATTTTGTCTACTTTAAATAGTCATATGACTTGAAACAGATTTACCTGAGAATTTGAAGACTGTCATTAGCAAAGACATTATCTCTGCATTTAAGTGACATCAGAAATGACGGAGACTACTGAGACACAAGTGGCTGAAATACTTGGAAGTTTCCAAGTGCACGTTTATAAGGCCAAAATTCCAAGCAGCAAAAAAAAAAGGCTTATCTACTGTCTGTGCTTAGACTAACTTTCCAAAATGATGAATCAATGGCAAAATTTATAAAGCCGAAAATTCCTGTTCTACTTGATGAAAGTTACTATTCTTGCATACTTGCAATGAATGCAAGTATTTCTCTAAAATAATATAAAAATATTATTTTCAGTAATAGTAAGGACATAAGGAATGGCTGCTTTTGCATTAAGATTTCATTAAGTTTTATTTTAATCTATTCAAGTAGTGTAAACTCAAACAAAAAAAAATGGTCATAACCAATTTGTGCTATATATAGTGAAGTTACTATCTATGTGTAAGACACAGTTCATATACCGGTGCAAGTGTTTTGTAAAATAAAACAGAATTAGTCATCCATATTCTACAGGTATAGTCATAGGTACAAGCTGTGGGAATAGAAATGTTGTTTCTGCAGAGTTACATTGTTTAGAAGGAGGGAATGTGGTACTGAGATACGCTTACAGTGATAAGAAAGCTTAGCAGGCGACCTTGTAAAATGCAGACAACCAGACTCCTTAGGACAATTAGGTGAAAATCATGGTATCAAGTCAAGTCAGATGAGTCATGTCAGA